CAAGATCAAGTTTTTGACATATCAAGTAAAAACTTCACATTCAGATAATTGTGTCTACAAGTTTCTTGTCTGCTGGAGAACCAAAATTCATTTCTGCATAATTTTGGAGTTACTGCCCTTTGTAATTATAAAACTTTAGAGCATATTAATTCTTTATTGTCAATAAATAATCGTGTGTCAACATGAATCTTCATAATATACCCTATTGAAAAATAAGTAACAGTTGTCAATGTCTTAAAATGTGAGGGTTCTACCATTGAAATCCCTTAAATTTTGAATAGACTGTTCTAATTTTAAAGATGCAACAAGTCCAGCAGGTTAAAGGTTAATGTGACATGTAATCCAGCTCATTTTTTGAAGTTCATTGATATTTTACCCAGGTGCCTATAGTTAGACATATGAAAATTAACCTTCCATTAAACCAACCTCACCATGAAGTTTAGTATTCTTTAAATTTATACAAATTTCTTTTTGGGCATCTGTGGCCAAGTGGTTAAGGCCATTGACTTCAAATCACTTGCCTCTCACTGCTGTAGGTTCAAGCCCCTCTAGCATTCTCTGATTCCTCATGTGTAAGAAAACTATCTTACGGAACATCAGTGGTTCTACTCAGGTGCCCGCTTGTGCCTGAAATAATGAGGGGCACCTAGCTGAGGTTTTCCTCCACCAGTAAAGCTGGAAAGTTGCCATTTGACCTATGTTGGGTTGACGTTTAACCCAATTTAAAAAAATAAATAAAATAAATATATATATTTATATTTGTTCTGCATGTAGCTCTTCAATTATAGAAATTGTGAATGTTAATCTTACATGTAATTATCATTACAGTTACATAGTGATACCACTATAAAAACTTGCAAAACTAGTCCAAGGACATTTCATGGAGCTATCGCGCATAGAGGAGATTCCAAAAATAAATTTATTTTAAAGTTTCAGCCATTGATACGACAGCATTTATCACAAATTTACTGCGGCAGGAAGATAAAATCAGTGTTGTAACCATCACTGTACTTCCTCTTTTTTCAAATGTCAAAAAGTTATCTTAACTCAAGTTGTAAAAGACAAGATTTTGTAGAGTTCGTTATATTTATTACTTTAAAAGCTAGGAGAAAAACTTTTTTTTGTCTCACAAAATTTTTTTTTGGTTATATTATCATAAATAAGGATGACCCATTATTTCAATTTGAACCTGAACTATAGAATTTTAAGAACAATTGACGTTATCCTTTTTCCTATTTTATAAGAGAAAACTGTCATGATGCTCAATATGTTTGAGACATAATTGAGCTGTGTCACGACAAAACCAACATAATGCGTTTGCAACCAGCATGGATCCAGACCAGCCTGAGCATCCGCGCAGACTGATCAGGATCCATACTCTTCGCTATCAGTTTCTACTTGTTATAGGGTTTGAAAGCGAACAGCATGGATCCTGATCAGACTGCGCGGATGCACAGGCTGGTCTGGATCCATGCTGGTCGCAAACCCATTATGTTGGTTTTGTCATGACACGGCTCATATCTTAATTTTATTTCTAGACAAACTGTCTTTTAAGAATTCTAACACAAAAAAAGAAAAATATTTTTTTAACCTAACAGATTTATATAGCCTTGATTTAAATGATACCAGTATACAAGCCAGGCCAGCCTGTGAGTCTGTGCAGTCTTGGCTGTTGCATTTACTCAAGCAAGATTTAAGATTAATTTAATTGTCAGGAGTGATTCAAGATTTTGCCCAGATTAAAAAACAGAAACAAAAGCATTGTGCAAGTTGCTGATACAGGCTGGCAAATTTTCGTCTGTAGAGCTGAAAATGTCAATAATAATGATAATTTGGCTACAGTTCACTTCTCAGTCATAAATTCAAATTTTCAGGAGTATAGCAAAGATAGGACAATATAATTATGGCCTAATGCCGAATTTGTTCCATGAATCAAAAATAATCTTTCAATTCGGAAAGAGACAAGAAATTTGATCTCGACCTTGATCTTACGAAGCTGCGTTCTGCACATTTCTCTTTTTGTTATTCAATTTCCTACCATCAGTTCAAAAGATACAGTTTGGGCAGATGCAAAAAATGCTTAAGACTGACTTGAATGGCAAACCATTATAACATTTGAAATTATTTCTAATCATACACTGATTTTGAAATTTAAAATGTTCTGTTTTTTATTTTTCAAAAATCTACGTTACGTTAAAGTCTACATCTACGTTAAAGTGACTCCATCTGCCTGTTAGACACAAAGGGAACGTTCCCTTGTGTCTCTGCCTACTTTGCAGGGCCACTCTTCTCTGCTTTTGTCAGCAGCAAGGACATATAGGCAGCTAATTTCATACAAGCTTAAAGTTGTGCTGCTTTATACAGAACCTGCATGCAAACCTGCTGTCTTACACATTGTGGTGCATCTTAGCCATGATATCAGATGTCTGTGTGACATGTCTTGTGATAAATTTCGAAGACACAACTTCAATGCAGGCATGATTATAATGAAAGGAACTGGAGAATAACAAGTGATTGCAAACAAGTCTAGATTACGATTATACCATGATGTGAAACCCATGATCTGTATCAGTTATATAACTGTCTTTTTATGAATGTTGTAAATTTAATGTTAATCTATTTCAGTAGTTTTAATTTACATTAAGCCTTAAAATAACTTACAGGGCAACATCTAGTTGACAATATAGTTCGAAACATGGTCATACATGGTTGAGTATTAACTGTGATCACTTTATACCATACCACCGTGATTGATAATACTAACTGTTGTTATATAACCATGATTCATTGCATGACCATCAAGTGGGGTAGTGCTGGGGGGAGGGGGGGGTGATGGACATGATTGTGTACACGCACTGGTGCCATTTAATAAAAATAAAAAACATGTCTGTCTGACCATATTATAAGTTTTAAGCATGATGACCATGGATGTGCAGGCATGACAGTTTACAGAGATAGAAAGGTGAACAAATTTCTGTAAAGTTGTATGTGTAAGTGACCTAACCAGCATATAACACACCTGTAAATATGTTGATCAATTTTCAGAATTTCACTGATGAATTTATACCTTGGTAGCTTTCCAAGAAAGTAAGTGAAATATTGGCATGTTGGTAAATCTTGTTAGATGGGTCACAGTATGTTATATATATAGTCTACCTTGTTATCATGTGATTGCCTGATGATTGATGACTCCATGTTATATAGATTATACAAGTAATATAAGGCTGCATTATCATAACAGTTTTGGTGACCCTGATTATATGTAATAAATCATTTATATATAGGATGCTGCTGTGAAATGATGAATATATAGAATCAGATTGAAATAATTTAATGCAGGTTTATCTTGAGAGAAAAAGCTGGATGTGAAGGAGGAGACTGAGAAAGTTGGAGGGGTGGGGGACTCTATTTTTAAGGACATACAAGAGAGTGTTGACTGAGAAAATTTCATGAAGTGAGCATTTATGAAAAGATGACAGGGAACTATGGAAAGATCAATGGACCATTTCTTTCAATATGACAGGACCCCCTACTATAAAAGTAGACATTGTCTTACTACTAATTAATTAATTTCTTCAAAAAGGGCTAGTCGTAATATCATTTAGGTTGAAAGCCAAAGAGTCCCCTCTTAGAGCGAGGTACTGTATCTTACAGTGTGGTACATGCTTATATATTTCTCATAATTAAATTTATTTGGTTTATAAAGAAATTTATGTTGGTTTGATTGTGTAGGAAGCTGTAATCTTACAGATTCCAATCTGTTCCTGACACCAACCAGTACTGATTCCAATCTGTTCCTGACACCAACCAGTACTGATTCCAATCTGTTCCTGACACCAACCAGTACTGATTCCAATCTGTTCCTGACACCAACCAGTACTGAGCAATAAGTGTAGTTTCTTGCTCAAGGTAACAATGACTTACCCCTGCATATATCACGAGTTGTACCCATGTCATTGTGGAAAGCAATCATTAGAATACTTGCCGAATGTGTTAACCAATGGGTCATGCTGCAACATGATTTATTTTGTCTGTGTTTTCAACATAACTAAATAACATATCTTGTTATACCAGATAATAATACTCTTATAATATAATTTTATATAATTATGCAGGTAACACAGATTTTCCTAACTCTGTTGTATTTATACATCAAAATACATACAGTTATACAATAATTTAAATCATTATATAAATTCTAATACTTGTTATTATCTACAATTTAATCATTTTGCAAAATTTCTACATGTATATATAGTACATTTATTATGTTCACCCCATGTATATATTTACAACCAAGTAAAAGTAGTTTTTAAAGATAGTTAAACTTAAACTTAATTTTAATAAAATAAACCAATAGATCTAGAACTTATTTTAATTCTTTTATTATAATTACAGTCAGGACTGTACTATAGGCTAGTAAAACTTTTACTATTTGTCTTTATTAGTTGAATTTATCTGACACACTTTTTACATGGTTGCAACTTTTACAATACTTTTAAACAATGCTGATTTCCTTTTGTGTCCCAGCCTTGTATAAAACCAAACAAAACTTTACATCAAGGTAGAGAAGTATTGAGCTATTGGCAGGAAGAAATCAATATGATCTCTCAGTGTTAGAACAAAATCCAATATGCCTTCAGTATTATATTGACCTGTGCATGAACATTGAAACAGACTATAGGCTAAAAGTATTGGTCTGTTCTATTTGTAAATTTAGGTTTGTACGCATTACATAGAGGTGTATAGCAGGAGAGTTAAAACATTAAATTTTCATGTAGTTAACTATTTTGATGCAGATTTCTACATCTTATGCACAAGGGAATATAAGTTGTTAATTATTGATTTTAAAAAGACGTTTATTTGCTTTTAAATGCACCTAAACTAACGGTGTTAATAGAAAATCAATATAGTTATAGTAAGATTTCCCCCTGGCAGGCCCCCCTGTGTTCCCACAATGCAAATGAAACAATCTGTATACATGAGCAAATGTACACATGTTTTGCAGTAAACTATACATGTATATATGTCAGTAAGAGAAATAGTTTCATATGAATAGATTTGAGTTTGTTTATATGCATAAGTTTTGAAAGTTCATACTAAAAAGTTGAATTTGTGTTTAAATATTTTTTTTCACATTCTGCAACAGCAAAATTAACTAATTTATTGGAAATGTTGTAATCAAGTTATAGAGAGTTATAATAAACCTGAGTTAGAAAGGGATGGAGAGAAAGTATAAGTGGAAGAGAAATGGATAAATGGACATATATGAGTGTGCCGAGTTAAAGCCAGGATTCTTGTTTAGAAGTTGAAGAAATAAATATAATTTACACATTTTGATGTCAGTGCATCAATTGAGAACTGTACACAGGATTTACAGAACTGTTGATCTTTGATAGAAAAAAAAATATTTGTCAGTGGTCATCTGAAAATAGCATGATTTCATCAATGATGTAGGATTTTACATTGAACAAGCTTTCTTGTAGATAGTAGAACTTTATTTGATGTTATATGCTTGCCCAACATATTAAAGTATAGGAAATTTATTTACACGCAAGCTGGATGCTGATTTGTGTTACGTCGTGTCAACAATGTGTTGAAATTCACTTTATAACTGTCATAAACTAAAAGATTTTGGCGCAAAGATGAACTCTGTTATGGCCAGTATGGCTCATGGTATGCCGGGAAATATGCATCAGGGTATGCCAGGGGGTATGAATCAGCCAGGAATGCCCAATAGTATGTCACCTTGTTTACCAAACAATTTACCCCAGGGCATGCCATGTAACATGTCCCCGGGGATGCCTCCATGTAGCATGCCTCCACATATGCAAGGAAACATTCCACCCCAGAATCATATAGCAGCAATGGGTCAACCTGGTCCAATGCACCCGCGTATGAGTCCCAGTATGTCGGGAGTGTCACCAGGTATGTCCCCTGGAATGCAGGGACCGTCACCGGGTATGCCCCCACAGCAGGGTATGGGAAATCCTCCGCCACCCATGTCCCATAGTATGGGCCCTATGATGAACTCTGACCCATTTTACTCATCTCCGTTTTCTATGTATTCAAACAGGCGGCACGCACCATACATGGGACAGCCAGATTACAGAATCTACGAGCTGAACAAGAGGCTTCAACAAAGAACAGAGGTATGTATATTTATATGTTATATTAAGTTAGTAATACTAATACATATTATTAATTCATGATAATCTTCTTTTTTAACTTTTCATGATTTTAGACTTTTTAGTCAGTCTCCAAGTATACATAAGTTATCAGTCTTTCACAGAGCTTGTTCTGTTTAAAAGTTCAGCTGGAATAAAGGCTTCCACCTTAACCACTAAAGGCTATAATGCTTCAAAATTCTTATAGGCATTATAATAAAATTAAAAACTTTAGATGTCATTCATTTGAGTAACTTGCTATAGTGATAATTTCAAACCAATAAAATTGCTGCTTGAGTTGTTTCTAGGTACTATTGAATTTTCAGTATTTAGAATTAAAATTTGATTTCCAGATCTTTAAGTGAGGTCATATAAAAAATTTTTGATTTCTGTATCATGTTATAAATAAATAATCCGAATGAAAAAGATTCTGAACAAAAGCCTGACAAAATATATAGGTAAGTAGTAGGATTAAATTAAAAGGGAGATAACTACCAGTACATAAATGGATATCATTTTGACATTAATTTTAAACAAGTGAAATTTGAATGCATTTTATATGTTGTGTAATGCACCAGTCAGTTGCCCCAGCACCCCAGGAAATCATGGTAGGGACTTTAGATCCGGGTTTCAAACCTATTGTAATAGTCTGTCCTGCATGAAGTGCCTATAGATTCGCTTCAACATGGTAGTCATCGATGGTAGTGCAGGGAGAAACACTATTAACCACCTTTACCTGGAGGGTGGGATGGAGAACACAGGGATTACAGTTGATTGGTGCATAAGTGTTAATCTAGATGTCTTATTTAAAACTTTGTTATTTTGAATAGAGCAGCATCTGACCTTATTGAAGCAGAATGGACTGAAAGAAAAACCATATTTACAGAAAAGTTCATGTCCTTTGTGTTTATATTTATATTTTCATTGTCATTTTCAGCTAAGGACATTGGCTATCTACCTAGGTGTAGGAGTTTAAATTATTTTTAATCACAACCCTAAAGATTTTGCGAAAGACTCTGTTACATATTGGTATTGCCAAAAATGCCGTTGCGGGGTATAACCTATGCCGTGACCATTAGTATTATACCAAACAATTGTAAGGGGCCCATGCATGCCGGGGCCCATAAGACTTAAAACACCCCCAAATAGTATGTTTAACCGGCATGTGTTTTCCGTGTTATGGAACGTCCAGAGTCCCCGGAATGCGACCGTTGGTTGCCCCAGCCGGTAGGGCGAATCCCCCAAACCACTTCTGTAGGGCCCTCTGAGAACTTATTTAATCTCCCGAAATTAAACAGGCGGCGTTGACAGCTATTAAATTACATGAAAAGCTTCAAAAAGCAAGATGTAATTTAATGTATATTTTAACACTAAAACACAATTAAACTTTGAACCTTTAATTTTATTATCCAATTTTAATTGTTTACGTATTCCGTTTCTATTTTTTCCGGCTTGATCAAAATTCAGCTGGAATCTACTTCAGAACCCAAACGATAATTTTGAAATTTTTAAGTTAACAAAGCTTAGCATTGAGAATAAATTATTAAAATAATCATTGTTAATTACTCTACTCTAGTGATAATTTAAAACCAAAAATGCTCTGATTTTATACTAGAATTTGTTTAGAAAAAAGATCAGTCATCAGTGGTTTATATTTTATTTCAGTAAGTTTATAAAAAAAAATGGATCAATTAAAAAGTTTCTGAACAACTCAAAGATATATATAATAGTAGATTTTTCAAAAAAATAATTACCAACATTAATTTCATTTTCATTTGTGAAATTTGATTTTATGTGTTAATCACGTAGGCTGTTAACCCCAGAATCAGAGTTTCGGTTTCAATTATAATGTCTGTTCCTTCAGAAGGCAAGACGCCAAGATTAGGCAGCGAGCCTATACCACCTTTTCCGGCATGGGTACTTGAATGTTGATTGTACAGATTTAATTACGATTTGAGGCCTCTGAATGAAAAATTCAAATTAAACAAAGTTCTATATCTGGACTCTTTGTTTGGAAACAGGTCAATCTACCTTTTTTTTGTATTATTTACTTTGTATTGTCGCATAGTGAAAGGCTATAACAAAGAGGAGCAGTAACTATGTTATACACATGCGTTTTGGTCCCGTAATATAGACGCCGTGCAAATTTATGTGAAATTTACCCGATATAAAGCTATAATAAATGTTATTACTATAGGCGCGTCTATGAAAAACGACTCTTATTTCACTTTAAACGGTCTTTATTTTGGGTATGTTATAAATAAAATATTAAATGAGTGTAAGTTCATTACTGAATTTATTGCACTCGTTGAATAAAATAATAGTATGCTCGCCAGAGGCTCGCATAATATAATTTTATCCAACTTGTGCAATAAATTCAGTATTGAACTTACCATGCTTACACTCATTTAATATCCTCTATATAAAAAACAACCAGGCTATTTGCTTGAAACTTAGAATCTTGTCTTTTTGATCACTGGCCAAGGCCCATGATTGTAGCCTAAGGCTAGCAGGGTTTTTGACTGAATTTTAGCCCTCTTTGAACTTAAGATTATTCTGGTCAAAATTACTAATGCAAATGCTACTGAAAGTATTTAGTTAAAAACTCCACACATTGCATTATGATTTAAAATTTGCTGTCCAAGACACATAACTGGGACTGACATAGATTTTGACTGATTTATGACCCTCTGTGAACTTGAAATATTCCTGTTTTGGAATGTTAATTGTGTGAAAGATCTGTTTTAAAAACTACAAAGGAATTTAATTGAAACTTGATATATATTTTTAATTTGCATTATTGGAATCTACTATCCAAACCCCTTGCTGGGCTTGCTGTTCTACTGGCACCTCCTGTATATGACATACATTATGCACACAAAGAAATACAATTATTTTTTTTGTGTGTAAAATATACCAAAAGCTACCAGTAGATAGTTGATTAATATGAGAGTTAGGTGAAGGTGAGCAGTTTTGGAATATTTGTAGCATTCGTGTACTTTTTGTTGAATCGTAAACCTAGCTACATATTGGCAAAAGCCTCTAGAATTGTTTGTTGAATGTGCTGAAACCACAGGTCTATGATGAGCATTTGCAGCATAGACAAAAGTCTTTACCTACAACATCATAGATTCAAACTTAATGGATCTTCATTTAAAGTTGTTCTCTAGCTTTCTATGTCTTTATATGGACATATTCTTCAATTAGAGCTAAAAAAATAAAGTAGACACTTTTCCTTTAAATTGAGATGGATCAACAGTGATGCATCATTGATAAGACAGGTAGTACTGCAGGTCACATAAAGTCTATATGAATTTAAAGGAACTCCACTGAGGTCCAAAAGGCCTGAACACATAAAGTTTAAAAATCTTACAAACATCAAATGAAGCACATAGCATGGAATACAGTTAAGGATAACAAAATAATATATTGAGAATCAAATTTTGCACAATGGACATGGTTTTTCTGGTAAACAGGGTGAGGGGAAAGATCTTAAAATTTGCACTAAAGTCAAATAACCTCAGTCAGGTGTCCCTTTAATATCCAAAGAATAGTGGTGCTGTCTTAATTTATGGAAAAAAAACAAACTTGTGTACACTGAAGGCATGTGAAACTAAAGGGAGAGAATTGTTGGTCGCTGATCAAAACCCATAATTCAAGCAATTTTTCTGGTTGAACTGTGAAACTTCCTTCAGCAGATCCTGGCTCTTTTGTATTACAACCTAGAAATGAAAGTATTGGAGCGTTCTTTCAGTTGGGTAGCACTTATTTTATGAGTTTTACCTTCAACTCTTCTATCCACACCTGTAATATCTATTTCTTAACTCATTGTCATACCTGTGTTGAAATTTCTAGAATAGGATTTGTTAAGTCTTCCAGTCTGTCAAAGCTGCACTTATAATGTTTCTATGATTACTTATATTTGTCATTAATAATTGAAAAAAAAAAACTTGTTAAATTGTTTGTTGTATTCAGAAAGTTCTACAAATATACAGGTGGTGCCCTCACATTGATTTTATAATTTAGGAGAAGGTTAGATATTTTCTGTGTCTGTCAGTTCTTTCTAAAAACAATGGACATCCTTAAGATCTTGAGCTACATAACAACCTTCAGGGTTTTTTCCTGGTCCATTTTGATGACCGATAATTGGTCATGTTCCTAATACCAAAAAATATGATTTTCCTAAATTTCAAGAAGAAAATTCCCAATTCAAGGAACAAAAAATAAGATAAGTAAAATTATTGTCATTTTGTTACATTTAACTGCACTGTGCCATAGAAATCATGTGCTGATGAGAGAAATATAAAAGAAGTTTAATTAACCAAATATTTGACTTCTTTGTCTTATTTGATGTATACAGTATGCAGTAAAGTTTTTCCCAATTTGTCTAGAACATTGTATATATACCAAACTCTGAGGGGCCCGGATCATGTTCCCGGTGCTGAGAAAAAACCTGATTATTGAACTAAAAGTGTAACATTTAGTTAAGAACTTTGGTTTTTGATATACTAGAAATATGATCTTTATATAAATAAATGTCAAAATTTCATAATTCCTGCAACTTTCTGCTCTCTACAATTGGAATTAAAGAAATACAGAAACTTCTCAATTTCTGTCTAAAATCTGAGAAAGGCCAGGGCATCGTTAGTCGAGAAAAATCTCTAGAAGGACCATAATGATGGCTGGCTTCTGTCAATGAATATTGTCTGTCAAGTTTGGTGTTGGGCGAGTAATAAAGAAACCCTGATGACCCCTGTTTACTTCGTGATAGTACTGTCAGTTGGTGTTGGCGAGTAATAAGACCATGATGACCACTGTTCTATCGTGGAATATTGTTGTCGTTTGGGCGTGTGTAATGACAGACCATGATGACCACTAGTTACTGTTAGTGGATAGTGCCTGTCACGTTTGGTGTTTGGCGAGTAATGAATGACCATTATGACCACTAGTTTCTGTCAGTGGATATTGTCTGTCCAGTTTGGTGTTGGACGAGTAATAAAGGACCATGATGACCACTGGCTTCTACTCCGTGGATATTGTCTGTCCAGTTTGGTGTTGAGCGAGTAATTAAGAACCATAATGACCACTAGTTAATGTCAATGGATATTGTCTGTCCAGTTTAGTGTATAGTGCCTGTCCAGTTTGGTTTTTGGGCGAGTAATGAATGACCATGATGACCACTAATTTTGGTCAGTGGATATTGTCTGTCCAGTTTGGTTTTTGGGCGAGTAATGAATGACCATTATGACCACTAGTTTCTGTCAGTGGATATTGTCTGTCCAGTTTGGTTTTTGGGCGAGTAATGAATGACCATTATGACCACTAGTTTCTGTCAGTGGATATTGTCTGTCCAGTGTGTTACAGGATGCTATAACCACTGGCACAAAATCACAATTTGATGACAATTGATTACCAATGTGTCACTGCAGCATCATAATCACAGCATAACGATACATACAGTGCTGTTCTTTCTGGCTAGTTCACCCAATCAATAAAACATCATCTCAAGAAAGCTACAGCATTGGGACTTCTAAGTTGTTCTTTATGGCAAGGGTTGATTTTCTATGACTATTTTATAGTATTCATCAAATTAGCTTTTGTAGTTAACAAAATTTGGCCCCTGTTTTACAAGCTAGTTAAGATATCGTAATAATTACATGAGTAAATTGTTGCCATGGTAACTGATTAAGTTAATTTTGTAGTTTTCAGTGAAAGTTATCCTCATTCTAGAAGTAGTTTTGTGGTTACACCTCTTTCAAAAGTGTACTTGAATTATGAGGCTGAATTGTTTAAAATTTAAAATAAAAGAAAAGCTTCAATATTTTTTGTTTCAAAATATGAAATGGTAAGTTTTTATGCTTAGATTTCAACAGTGATAGCTATACTTATATTGAAAGCAAACAGGATTTTCTAATTAACATTTTGTGAAGACTTTTTAATTGCATTTTTCTGTCAATTTTTCTGTTATAATTATTTAGACTTTCTACCTAACTGAACATTTTCATGATGTTGCTTTTATTTTAACATTGTTTAAAAGGATGTAATGTTATGAAACTTTTTCTTTTCTTTAAAACTAAAAAAAAAGAGGTTATAATAGCATGTAAATTAAGTCAAAATTTAGATTTTGGTGCTAACATAGGCTTATTGGTGATGGTTAAACTTAGGTCAGTAGAGTGAATACAGTATAGCCTGAGGGTTGAAAACTGGCCGATTAGATGTAGAAATGATATTGAACTCCACACTTGACTTGTTTGCAGGTAGATATTTACCTGTGTCAACTTGTTAAGTTTACATCACTATTCATTTAGTAAACACACTATAATGTTATAGTGTATACAGGGAAAGAAACATCTTGGTCCTTTGTTATGCTAAACACTTTGTTTTACTAGGACAAATTTTATACTAGGGAGGCTAACAATGGGAATTTTTTGAGCAAATAAAAAAATAAAAAATAAAGGAAAACAGAAAGGAAGGGAAAGGGGAACTAGCAACTGTTACACAAGAAAAATTTGTTACAATTGTAACAAGAGTGTCAGTGAAAGATTAAGATATTTTTGATAGTAGATATTTTCACTGTATTGACATAAAAGTTTTATCAATAAAATTTTGAATAAAAGCAAGATAAGAAAAGTTATCAGCTTTGTTTCATAGCTTGAAGGTTATCTTATTTTTAGAGTGTTTAACTCTTGGAAAAAAGTAGCAGGAAGGGTAAAACAGTTGTGAAGGGTTTGGAGTTTTGTTTCTGTTAGTTTGAGAAAGTATAATCCATGTGACAAAAGCTAACTGACTTGTGGAAGGTCTTTTAATATAATGCCTACTGTCAACACAGGTGAAAAAATTTTTGCCTAAAATTTTAAAAAAAGGGCCCAGGTTCCTGGGGTTTTTACCATATCTATAGGTTAAAAACTAACAAGACCTTTTTTTAACTTTTCTTTAAATTTTAAATTTTTTGGGTATTGACAAATAGGTGATGAGGCCATTTTAAACCCAATATATTTGTTTTGACTTTACTAATTTAAACTTAGTCTGGTTTTTTTGATTCTAAATTTTTTAATTAAAACCTTGGGAAATAACATCAAAACCTTTTTAAGAATAATATGTTTGAGAAATATTGTAATCAAACGTGTTGTCTTGTAAAAGTACCGTATATAGTAAATATTTATAATATTCGATGATAAAATCAGTGGCTTTAATGGTGGGCCCTTTTGCTATCTGTATATAACCCACGGAAACAGCCCACACTGTCATAGATCTATGTATTCTTAACACTTAATGACGGTCAATTCGCCCACAGTATAGACCATATATATGGCATGTTACTGTCTTGCACAGAATTGCTTAATTTTGATGTACCAAGTTGTGATAATGTACCACTGCAATTTCCATAGAGTAATAATTTAGCCAATGAAATGAATTTTGAGCCAAAATGTTGTCTCTTGGTAATGGCCAGACCAGTAACCTGTGACTGTCATGGAATGTAGTTGTGAGGTAGCCCCTGATAAAGTTGTTATGCCAGCTATAGGTCTGCCTTTCTACTGGTCTCTGTACTAGGGGCTCGTATTCTGACCACCATCTAATCTGGCCTGACTTGAATAATACTGCCAGCTGCTGCTCAGTCATAGTATTTTCATATTGAAACATCTGAAAATATGTTGTATATTCAAATTAGGATAAGTCCATTATTTTTAATTTAAAGGGGTAAATAAAATTAAATTATATAAAATTTATTACATCCGGGAATCACTATTTTCAAATCTTTTTTACTTTTGTAAAACTTCTGTTTTAAAAAATTTATTTTTTTAATTGTGATGATTTTGAAAAAAATTTTTTATTCCGGGTGTATAACCTTAAATATTGCTTTTATGTTTAAAAATCTTTTTGGTATTTTTAGATAAATGTAAATGTTCAAAAAAAAAAGTATCTTGTTCTTTTTCTGTTCTGATATTAAAAATTTGTTTCATTTTTTACAGAAAAAGGGGAAAAAAAAGAAACCCTTTTAAAAAGGGAAATTTGTTCAAACTTATGATGATTTTTTAATTTTTTAACTTTTACCCTGCTAAAAGTATTTTTTAAATTTGGGCCATTGGTAAAAGAGCCGGGGGCCAATGAAAACACCCCTTCATTATGAACGGGGACCACAAAAGGGTGGCTGACTGATTCCAAATGTCATCAGTGATAAAGGACAGTTTCAAAAATCGAAGCTTAACATTAAGAAATTCAGCAGGTTGAAAGAAAAGTTAAATATCACATAATGCAATTCATAATCCTATTTTTCTATCTTACAGGAGAACAAGAACACTGCAGGGTTGTCAATAAAATCTTATGAGTTGCTCGGTTTTAAATTTGAGGCAGCCATTTTTGGGTGTATCACATTCAACTTAGAGTGTTTTCATCCCAAAATTTCTAATCCTTAAATGACAACCTTGCTCTGATAAAAGAACAAGGTAGCAACAGTTAATCCTATTTCTTAAGTCTAAATGTTCTCGTTTTACCTGTTTCAGGACAGTGACAACCTCTGGTGGGATGCCTTTGCAACAGAATTCTTTGAAGATGAAGCAACCCTAACTCTATCTTTCTGTCTGGAGGATGGGCCTAAAAGATATAGTATGGCATTAGTTGTTATTTTATCTGTTGAAAAAACAACAACAAAAAAACAATACAACTAAAGACCACCTTTGTGTCACATGTTTTCTTATAATGATCTAATATAACACTTGTCATGGCCGTTCCTACTTCCACAAGTGATCTATGTAGAGAAGTTGTTCATAACTTGCGGAAAAACAGGTTTTGTCTGGTCAAAATTACAGAATAACATCCTGTCTATAATTTAAACACTGATTATAGATATAAAATGTTAAATCCTGAGAAACAAAATAATTTAACGATTTAGTGGAAAAAAAATGATAAGGATATCTTTTTAATGGGATTAAAGGATATCTTTTTAATGGGATTATTTTATCCATTGATTATAATCAGTTGAAATATGGACCTTCAGGATTTTTTATACGGTAATTTGGCCCTTTTTGGGTCTAAACATACATTTAAAATTTCGTAGAAATGTTTTTAAAGGGAAAATGACTGGGAGGTGCCAAATAATGTTATACCATTATTTTCATTGTATTCAAATGGGCCAAAATTTTAAAAGCCTTTTAAAACAATTAATTTAAAGGGTTTGATATGTGGGCAGCCATCCCTTGGTTTCTAAATACATGTAGATTTTTCCCACCCCAGGGATTTCAAAAACTGCATGGCTGTTGTTAATGTGATGAAAGACTTTTATATTTCATGATACATTGAAACATATATAATAATAATATATATATATACTGAAAAAGACTGACTGACATCTGTTACATAGTCTGCATTGCAAGTTAGCATATTTTTGTGCTTGCAGTGTTGTAAGGTCAGCCAGTTAATCCATATAATAAGTTAATTTCTTATTGTTGCCGTGAAACAAGGTATTCTATGTACAAGTTAAGACTGCCACATGAGAGTGCAAGCCTGCATTACATTGTCAATTTATATGTTAGGAAGTTGCTCAGTTATCTTAAGCAAAAGGTGGATCTTCCTCCATTATGTAGCCAGACAAGTTGAGGTTAGAAAAATTAGTGAAGAGAGGTTATGTGAAATTTTCTATGCACATAGCATTGTCCATTTCATAGTTATCTGATGTGGAATTTGGAAAGATTGTTCTCTTTCTATTTTATGCTTGAATGCAAAAAGTTACCTTTCTTTTTTTCAGCCATTGGTAGGACGCTAATTCCCCGCTACTTCCGAAGTATTTTTGAAGGTGGTGTCACAGATCTCTATTACATATTAAAACATGCGAAAGAATCATTCCATACAACATCCATTACATTAGATTGTGATGTGGCAACGATGGTGACACATCATGGAAAACCAATGTTTACTAAGGTATTATGATAAACCTACCTGTAAAAGTTCACATTGACACATGCATAAAGTTATATTACATGTATGTGACTATATTAACATATGATGGAAAACCAATGTTTACTAAGGTTAGTAAGGTATATGACAAACCTATGTATTAAATTTTACATTGACACATGCATTAAGTCATATTACATGTATGTGACTATATTAGCAGATGATGGAAAACCAATGTTTACTAAGGTATTATGCCAAAATTATGTATTAAATTTCACATTGACATGTGCATTAAGTTAAATTACATGTATATGACTATATTAACCTATCATGAAATAAACAAAAGGGGTGTCCGTGGCCGAGTGGTTAGGGTCGTTGACTTCAAAATACTTGCCCTTCACCTCTGTGGGTTGGAATACCGACAGGGACTTTGGATTCTTTCATGTGAGGAAGCTATCCAGCTAGCTTACGGAACGTCCGTGGTTCTACTCAGGTGCCCGGGGTTTGTGCCTGAAAAAAATGCACGGGAAGGGGGCAGAGGGGCTTTTTTTCCACATTAAGGCTGGAACATCGCCCTAAAAAGGGTGTTTTGGGAAAAAAAAAGTTAACATGATTTGGGGGAATGGTTTTATGTTGTTTGTATTGAAAATTTTAAAATAATTTGGGGGATAAATGACTGGCATATACTGTAAAATCATTATTATTCGTGGGGCACGAATTTTCGTGGTTTTCGTGGGTAGATCAATCCACGAATTTAAGATCCCACAAACTTTTATCCCAACAAATACTACTTACCCAGTCTTTGTTCTATATATTACAAACATGCGTCGGCTCTTTTCCGGCCGACATTTCGTGAAATGGATGTATATACAGACAGATAATCAGGTTAGTGACATATTAAATCCGTTTACAATATTTAAGAAATTTGAAAGAAAACTCGATTATAATGTCCTCAATTTACTGTCACAAATGTCGCATATACGTACTTGATCGTTGCAGTCTACTAGCAACAAGAATACTTGACATAATCGAGTAAATATGGGAACCCAGGCAGTGCAATAATTAGCGCTAATAAAAATTGTCAGTTTGCTCTTATTTATTAAAAAAAAGTCTTTGATATAAATGTCGTAAGTACACAAAACTATATAAAAAAATACGATCGCTAAAACAGATTTATTGTACATTCTTTTGTGGTTTAAATGATCCAGTTTATATGAATTTTAATCTGTATTTGTGCGAATGCTATTCCGTCAACATCAAAGACGCCACCGACTATCACAAGATCCACACATACTCGTGTTATTTACCGAGATTAATTTATATGCATGTAAATTTACACAGTCGCTGTGACGTTGCGTGTACTTACTGTCAAATATGTTAAGACCAATTCAGGGTGTAAACTTTTAAACTCGCTGGTTAAAACCTGTCAGGTGTCGTATAAATTATGCGATGTTTACATTGGCGAATTACAGGGGCAGTGTGTCCAATGGAGGTGCATATCATGTCACATAAATGTGTTAATTGCAGTCAATTATCGGCAGTAACTGTGCTATATAATATATGCCCAGAGGCAAGGATTAAATTTATTGACAAGCGCTGTGTGACAAGTAAAGATATGTACATGTTGTAAGTAAAAATGTTCGGCGATTAAGTTTAAGATTATTTTGCATTAGGTTACTGATTTTTTTTAACAAGAAAACGAAAATCCACGAATTTAAGAACCCACGAAAATGCCCTTTTTGATAAAACCACGAAATTTCATGCCCACGAATTTAAGTGAATTCGCAGTACTAGGTTAGACACTTTTGGTACATGCATCATGTAGGCACTACACATATACCTGTGTCAAAGGATTGAACATGTTTGTGTTTATTCATTTGATACCAGTACATGTGTAGTGCCTACATGATGCATGTACCAAAAGGAGTAAGATTGAAATGATAACATGTCTGAAACAAGTTGTTCTGTCTTTAACTTTTTGAGTCTTTTAATTTTGTGCAAGTAGAAAGTTGAGCAAACTTGTTAACACATGTCAACAGTATAGAGATATGGCGGCCAAATCTGACAAGACTCTGTAGATGGTGTGTTAATTTATACCCTGGTAATTAGATCATTATGGACGGTCAATGTAATTACCACTGGTACAAGAAAATGTTGTAATGTCATTGGATGGTGTATTCTCCGGCATTGAATAAACATAAACAACAGTCTCTAAGAATATCAAAATTTATGTCAGATAGTGATGGGGAAAATGTCACTTTATTAAATTAATATAATTATCACATTAAAGGTTTTCTGCAAAATTTATTGAAGTCCTGGCCACGGGGAACAAATGAACAGGCCTATAGAACTGTTTTCTATTTTTCAAAAAAAATTTCAAGTGACTGATAGACGCACAAGGGCCTCATGTTTTCTTTTATCAAATGATACAAATATCTCCCTATAACTTATGGGCCAAAAAACCTGTCCTAAAGTCCTCTAAAGGTTAGTCTGTAGTACCTGTTAAAACACTGTTATTTTCCTTAGTTTCATTTAACATGCAAAAGATTAAATTATAACGCTACTTAAGGTTATTTATGTGTTGTTTTTCTATGAAACATAACTTATAATATTGATCAGTTGGGTAACAGAGGGAAATATTTTTTATAAAGTACAATGTATGATAATATTATAACCTGTAAAGTTGAAAATCTCAATATTGTAAACAGCTGCTTTATTCATAAAGTTAGTTTCTTGATTGTTATTTAAAACAAAAACAAAAAATCAAAAGCTGTCACCAAGAAACTAAAGTTATTATATATAGATTTAAAACATGTTATGTATGTACATTAACAATGAATTTAAAATAATTGTTTTATATGAATTGACTCAATAGTTTTATTTATTGTTCATTTACTCAAATTTTAACTACATTTGTAATAATATTAAATAATGTGGCTCTAAGTCCGATTTCCACTTCCTCATGGTTAGCAAGGGGTCACATTGCTCTGCATGTACAGCAAGGGGTCACATTGCTCTGCATGTACAGCAAGGGGTCACATTGCTCTGCAAGTATTAAGAGATGAGGAAAATTATAAAACTTTTCATAATTTATAAAAAAGATAAAATTGTTGCATATGATAAATTATGGCACAAAAAATAGTATGATGGTGCAATTTTAGCTATTTTGTGACTCATATAATATGTGAATTTAGCTGATTGACACTTCAGTTTGCGTTATTGGTAATAATAATGATAATCATGTTCTTTGCTTACGTTGAACTTGGCATGTTTACTGAAAGGGCTAAAGAATACAATAAGGAAGCCATAGAGTTGGTCACCATTGAATTTAGGGAGCATCCATTTTCTTTACAGATAGTCTTCTTAATATTGTTTGTTTGCTTCGCCATTTCTTAATAAGTGCCTGTAATCTTCAGTTTTTACATCCATTTAAATGTACATTTAATGTAATTCTTTTATTTAACTCTGCATTATATATATTTTAGGTTGTAACAGAGGGTAGATTAGTGCTAGAGTTCACATTTGATGATTTAATGAGAATCCGGTCGTGGCATTTTGCAGTGCGGCAACATCGTGAACTTATACCACGTAGCGTTATAGCCATGCAAATGGGAGCAAATGAGGTAACGGATGTATGTATCCATATTCAACATAATGATTCTTCTTTCATCAATTTCTGGCAAAAAAAATCTACACTTTGTTTCTGAGATCAGGCTCGTTTTGATCTTTCTCCTATATTCATCAACAATCGTAACCAGAAATTGAAAAAAGAAGTTTCATGTTCCAAGTTAAATATTGTCTCATATTGTAGAAAGAGTATCAAAATAGGTTTTGAAACTTAATATGTAACAAGAATTGAGAAGATAAAAGTTCTGTATGTATTAGAATAATAAAGTTTGATTTGATGACTTATTATATTTTAAACTCTACTAGTTGTGTAATCTTAATAATCTTTGTCATGGCAAAGCCTGATATATATTTAGTAGTTAAGGTTGCCTCTTCAAACAATTTGTGCCTGTCTTGTTCTGAGGTTTCAATCGCGTACCACAGTATTTTTGTCAGCTGATTTTATCTTGTACAACCACATTTCGTTAAAACATTTAGTTAATACAGAGGCATCAGTGGCTAAGTGGTTTAGGTTGATGATTTCAAATTTAAAATTTGATTGTGTAAGAAGCTCAAAGCTTATAGATACACAGTCAAATCTGCTCCTGGAATCAGTTTGTTCTGAGCAATAAGTGTAAAGTTTCTTGCTTGAGGAAACAACAGCTTGACCATGGCATGGTTTGAACCCAGTCTGTTATTGATCTTTAGATTACTTATCTGACATGTTACCACATTTGTGTAAGCTAGATGGTTTACTGTTGAACTTGGGGCGTCCGTGGCCGAGTGGTTAAGGTCGTTGACTTCAAACCATTTACCCCTCACCGCTGTGGGTTCGAATCCCGACAGGGACTTTGGATTCTTTCATGTGAGGAAGCTATCCAGCTAGCTTACGGAACGTCGGTGGCTCTACTCAGCTACCCGTTCGTGCCTGAAATAATGCACGGAAGGGCACCTGAGGTCTTCCTCCACCAGTAAAGCTGGAATGTCGCGATATGACCTATATTGTGTCGATGTGACTTAAAACCCAAACAAAAAAAACCAAAAACTGTTGAACTTGATGGTGTGTCATCATACCTGAACTCTCCTTTCACTACCATATTTGAGTTTATAATACTTGTGTTGAATTGAATTAAAACCATAACCACGGCTGTAATGAAATGTTTTGTAAGCTAAAATAATTATGTTCCTTTCAAAAAAAGTAAATATTTTCTAAAGTTAAACATGTAATGTTTTATATTAGGAGCCAGCAATGGTCGAGCAGTTGGGGAAGAATATCACTAGACAAGGTCTCACAAACTACACACTTAATTTCCTGCGGGTAAGTTTGTCAATTACAATATGTTAAGATATGTTAGTAGTTAAACAAGAATTTAAAGTCTGTGGATCTAGTACAGGTTTTATGCTGCCAAGCCAGTATTTTTCCAGCATTTATTCAAGCAAAGATGATTTTTTTGCTCAACTGAATACCTTTGTCAGATCTAACTTCATCATTTTATATAAAGGTCTCATTTAACTTGGTTTTGTTTAACAGATTATGTTTGACATTTTGCCAGTTACATGTAGCTGTTTGTCATAAAGTTACCAGACCTTAATTAAATTATTCCTGAATTTTCTGTGTCAGACAGAGTAGTAACTTGCTTGAAACCTGCCAGACACCTCTTTATATCATAAATAACTTGGATCTTCCTGTAAATGAAAAATATCTTTATGATCATGTATGTAATGAATGAATTTTGAAGGAATGAAAGAATAAAGCACATAAAAAAGAAAAATACTGGTAATAATTCTCAAATTAGGAAAGTCAGCAAGTTTTAAGTGTATTATGTTATAGGCATTTCTTTACAGTTGTGTGTGATACTCGAGCCAATGCAAGAATTGATGTCACGGCACAAAGCATATGGCCTGAACCCGAGAGATTGTCTGAAAACTACATTGTTCCAGAAATGGCAAAGAATGGTCTCACCTCCAGGAAAAGGTAACTGTTGTCTGACTATAGCTAACAACAAGAGTTTTCTTTCATGGGAAGATGTTTTAAAAACCTTGGTTTTAGCCAGAATATTTTAATGACTTATATTGAATATTTTATTAATTCTTTACAAAGCAAAGCTTTATTTATATCAAAGATAAGCTGATAATTTATACATCACTAATATTTTTACTTTCTTATTTTTAATTTTTATGCCCCCACAATGTGGGAGCATATAGCGTTGCACTTGTCAGTCCGTCCGTCCGTATGTCCCGAAATCTTGTGAACACAACTCCTCTTAAACCGGATGGCAGATTTTGCTTAAACTTACGGGATGAACAACCTTAATGTGTAGATGGTAGTAAAGGAAGGAATTTTCGCTGCGACCAAATTTAACAGAATTATGGCCCTTTGTTGATTTTTTCACTAGATACTATGTAGAAATTTTGTGAACGCAACTCCTCTTAAACCGGATGGCAGATTTTGCTTAAACTTACAGGGATGAACAACCTTGAGGTGAAGATGGTAGTGAAGGAAGGAATTTTTGCTGTGACCAAATTTAACAGAATTATGGCCCTTTGTTGATTTATTCACTATATACTATGTAGAAATTTTGTGAATGCAACTCCTCTTTAACCGAATGGCAGAATTTGCTTAAACTTCCAGGGATGAACAACCTAAATGTGTAGATGGCAGTAAAGGAAGGAATTTTTGCTGCAATTAAATTTAACAGAATTATGGCCCTTTGTTGATTTTTTCATTATATACTATGTAAAAATTTTGTGAACGCAACTCCTCTTAAACCGGATGGCAGATTTTGCTTAAACTTCCAGGGACTAACAACCTTAATGTGTAGATGGTAGTAAAGGAAGGAATTATCGCTGCGACCAAATTTAACAGAATTATGGCCTTTGTTGATTTTTAGTTTTCAACTTGTGGCACATGTAGTCCAAAAAATATTTGACCTAGTGTCATAAGATTGACAGAACAGTGGCGTGTGGGGGCATCCGTGTCCTATGGACACATTTCTAGTTTTTTACTTTATTTTGTTTCCTTGGAAGTACAAAAGGAGTGATGGCCTTTACTTTATGCTAGTACACTCCCTCCAAATTTGAACTGTTTACCCAGATTATGTTTATATCTGCTTGTATTTTCTTTGAGACTTGATGTGTTTTGTTTTGCTGAATAACAGTTGACCTTTCTAAAATTCCTGCCCTAAATACTCTCACTTTTGAGATTTTGCTGCTATGGTCTTTTTATAAATACTATTTGAAACAAGGATGGTATTGTGTTAGAAAAGGGAGAGCTATTTTATTACCCAGGCCTCAGCATTTGTGTTGACTTTACTCTTACTTTGGTTAAGTTTTTTATGCAATTTGGAGATACTTTGGTTAAGTTTATGTGTGCAAAATTGGAGATACTTTAGTTAAGTTTTTTTTTTTAGTTAAGTTTTTGCGTGCTAAAATTGGTTTCCCAAAAACTACTGATTGCGATGGGTTGAAACTTTACACACTTACTTTATCAAGCACTGACAGGGAACTCATTTGGTCGTTTTTGGGGCCGAATATGGGTACCGGTCCCCTCTAAAAATCATATGTATTTTTCCCCTATTTCAGAAAAAAATCCCCTCCAAATTCTAAAATAAATCAACTTAAAGTAATTTGTTTGATTTGTTAGTCTAATACTAGCTATTGATTTCAATGGTAGGAAAATTACAAACTATTGAAACCAATGGTAGGAAATAGTGTAATGAGTAAATTTGATAAAAAATACACTTAAAATACATGATAACATACAATTTCGAATTTTGCCTTAAAACGATGCAAAATTCCCCTTCCTTAGTGTATGGGTACCTGTCCCCAAACGGTGTCTAGTGCCCTGACTGAGAATAGTTGAGCATGCTGTCGTACAGAAAGGTCTTGTTTTTAAGTAATTCTTTTCTTCTGTCCTCTTGTATAAAAAATCTATGTTCATATTTTGTATTAAATTACATCTTTGCATATTTTTAAGTCATGCATGTTCTTGTCATGTTACTTTATAGCATTTGTAAATTATTTAATAAACACTTAATGATTGGGGACATTGATAGTACAAGTGAAAAGTACTGTAACCAAAAGGTCATTTATTTTCGATCAGTAAGAATAACTATATGGAGATGTTAAGATTTTCATCTGTTACATTATACAATATTTGCTTGTATTATGCATGACTCATATCATTCCCAAGCCACTGCATGTTCTTCTATTTTCATTTTGTTTGTTAGATGGTTCTGGCGAAATGCCAAATATGCCACACCCTGATATGCCTGGACAAAAGACGAAAAGTAGGTTATATTTGTGTATTACTACACAATTAACAAACTGTGGAAAAAGTAGTGCCTTCACTAACACGCTTATTTTCTTCTCAACAGATTTAACCTACAGATGCCACCTTTGTTTTTCAACATTCACTTTCCTAAAAAAAAACAACATTTAATAATGATATATGTGAAATGTTCAAAATCAAACCTTTCCTGTATAGATAATGTGATGGGTTACTTATGTATAAATAATGAAAAATTAAGTTTGTACCCTGAAAATGAACATTGAAAGTTGATAATGTGAGGTATACCAAGTTTATATAGTGATAAAAAATGGTGATTCAAGTTTATATAGTGATAAGATACAAAATGGTAACTCAAGTTTATATAGTGATAAAAAATGGTAACTCAAGTTTATATAGTGATAGAATGGTAACTCATGTCTAATGGTTACTCAAGTTCATATATTGATTAAAAATGGTAAACCAAGTTTAATCAATATTCCTAGAGAATTTACTCTTTTTCCTCCAGTTCCAAAAATAGAATCCTGACAAATCTATTTAGGAAGTTGGGTAGGTAAGGGGTAAAGGCTTATACCGTAAAAAACAATGACAATCTATATAAGTTTTTACAGTTATACAGTAGTTTACACTGCTAAGCCATTCAAGTTAAGATACAGGTATGAGAATCTGTTTTAAATAAAGAGTTTTAATGTGGTTATTTAACATTCTAAGATTTGATTGGACACAAGGTATTGTTTCTAATCTTTATAACATACAAAAGTATTTAAATTGTGGCTAACATCTTATCTTTTTAGTCTCTTTTTCTAACCATCTTTCATGGATATATTCATGGATTATGTAATACATGTTGAATGATTTTACAAACTTATTTAGTGCTAACATTTCCATATGACATTGTATATTAACATTTAAGTTGTAGTTCATTTATTCAAGAAATACATGTACAATAGTTTTAGTAAAGCTATTTTTTCTCTCGGAACTTTGGAATTTTATTTGTTAACGGCACATTATGCCTTGGAAATGAATAAATGTTTACTTCATAAGAACTGGCAAATATTCATGCTGTAATAAGTATCGATTTTGAAAATTGAAATTATTTTGCACAAATATTCGACATTAAGTTTTAGTTTTGTTAAATTTTACTGAATGATGATATAGATTTCTATTAATTTTAAAAAAATGCAAGCAACATTTTATGATTTGAAACATTCATGTAAGTATGGAATTGGCTGTTTATGGATTTAGATAATTTGATGGCAATCTGTATGAACCATTTTATTCAGTGTTATAAAAAACTTTAGGACAACATAATTATGTTGTCTATATAAGACTAAGTTTATAAACATGTTTATACATTTAGAATGTATCAGAAATGTGTTACATTTTTATAGAAACATGTAACTTTGCAAGACACAATACAAATAATGTAATATTTATTGTAATTTATTTAAATATCAAGATCGTCTCTTATACAAGTAATTGGAACAGCTTGTAATGCAGTCAACTTAAGTTTAGTTTATGTGGTCATGAAAGTTGTATGAATTAGTTTTTGTTAAAATGTTTGGTTAATAAGTAAAGTTTTTGTTTCAGGGAAATGGAGTGTATCTCCTCAGTCTGGTAGATTATAGTTTTTGGGGATTTTCCCTCTGTTTTTGTTCAGTAAAATCAAAACAGTAAAATCAAAACAAAATGATTACAAATATGGTTAGATTTGATTTTCACCTTCTTCCTTTCTTGCATTTTTTCTACTTTTCTTTCTTTTCTTTTTTTGCATGTTGCAATAGGTCCATAATTTTACTGGAATAATGCACAACAAGGCCCCTGAGGTCTTCCTCTTCCATTGAAATACTGGAAAGTCGCCATATGACCTATTTAATTTCTGTTTTAACTTAAAACCAAACAAATACTTGTTCCAACAGTGACTCTAGTTACCTCCCTTGATTTAAAGAGAGATGTCTATATATGAGTCCATGTTTTAAGGAGTTTAATATGCTAATTAACCTAATATATCTATTGGAACTTTGTCAGATTTGTTTTGATTTTACTATTCTCCTCTGCCTTAGACATCCACTTTTATTTCCTGGGTCCCACATCTGTTATTTGAAGGGATTTCAAAATTTTAACTAAATATTGAATCTATCTTTTTGACATAGACCCATTATTATGAACTAAGCATTATAATTTTTTTTTCTGTAAAATTGCTGTGATTTTGAATTGTTTTCCTGTGTAGACTAGATGAAGTTTTCTTTCTTGATTCTTAGTGGTTAAGAATTAAAATCTTAGTGGTTAAGGATTGTAATTCTATTGTGAAGAAAGAATATATCTAGTTAATAACAAAAATATATAAAAAGTATTTGTATTTGGAATCTTTTAGCCTTTTATTGTTGCACAATTATATTTAATATATCTATATAATATCTGTTGGAATAAGATAAAGAAATGAAAAATAAAAGTTAAACTATATGTATATGAATAAAAAAGAAGATTTTTCTGATTTTATAGTAGAAGAATGATAATGATAATTTAAAAGTGGATGTCTGAAGATTTGTCACATGTTTTTATAAGATACAGTTGATGTAACAAGTTGATCTTACCAGATGTTCACACAGAAATAGTTACATTATTGATATATTTTAACTAACAGCAGCACAAGTTCGTAACTAAATTATTGATTTGATACAGGAGGACTACTGAGAACTGTGATATTGTTATACCAGTAGTTATGTAAAGAAAAAAAAAGGGGGAAATTTTATTGATTTTTCCAATGATTATATCAGTAGTATAGACCATGTGATACACATTTCCATGTGTGTAGTTGGTTCATGTAATATTTACTTATTGTATTCAGAGTCCACCTGCCTTTAAAGACCAGGACTTGTTTTCATTAACATTTAATATCCTTCTTTAGTGTTTGCCATATTTTCTTTTAAGCATAGTTTGGGGTTGGTGGGTTTATGTCAAACACCTATTTTTAAAAGGTACATGTAACAATCTTTTGATTCCATTAGTTGGATAAAAATCCCAATTCAAACACTTGTGCTAAAAGTTGTTACTGTTCAAATTTTGAGTGTTCAGCTGTTTTCATCTAGGGCAATGTCTTGAAATTATTTTATATAACTAACCAAGGAATGACCATCCCCACAGTCATGAAATTTCACATGTTTAGCAAAACATTGCTTGAAGTCTTAATTCTGATCTTAAGAAGGGATAATATACAAAGGAAGAGAGTATTTTCTTATGCTTTTGTTCCAATGAGAAATATGTTTCTGTATATGACTTACTTGATGGTATTAAGTTTCTCAAAAATGAAAGAAATCATAGGTAAAAAAATCCGGAAGAAGGCTGATCCCTCCAAGGCATTGAGAACCACAAAATCATATGAAAATTGCCAACTCCCTTTGATTCAGACTGTTCATGAAAGATAATGGAAAATTGCAACATCCTGCATGGCTTAAGCAGTCCTCAATCTCCCTAAACAACCAGATTTATATAACAACACTGAAGTGAAATAATTACTCAATAAAAAAATGCTGCCATTTAAAATATTTGATTGTATACTACTAATACTTTGTGTTGTATTAACCAAAAATCACCTGTAGAAACTAACACTGTTTATATTTATCCTATCTTGTTATATAACATAAATCACATTAACAACAGTTTGTTTTTTTTGTTCACATTGATATTACAGGTTACCCTAAGTGTATTATAAAAATAGGGTACAAGAATATAACTGTATTTATATGTTCAAATTCAGATTTTATTGCAGGAAATGAAAAATTTAAGCTTAACTTTTTTTAATTTAAGTAATGGATTGTCCTGCTTTGAATTTAGAACAGTCCATTGAAGATTCTGAGGGATTTGAATATAAAAATACATGTACAAAACAGTGTAAAGCCTGATCAGACTGGACTAATGTGAAAACTTGCCTGGCTTCAAGGTTACAAAGAAATCATTCTGATCTCTGTCTCAAATTTCAGGTTTTTCATTGGTCAGTGTATATTGTTTGCCTGTTTCTGACCAATCAAAAGTCCTGAGATCTGAGTTTGAGCAGCCTAGAAAAAATTTTTAATTCTCGGACCCAGCTGGCTCTGTACTGGTGTGAAAGGCTCGTCACTTTATGTTCAAGCATGTTAAAGATAGTCCTGTCATTTCATCTTAAACTATATCTTATCTAATGAAAGCTTTTATTTAAATTAAACGAGTTGAAAATAAAAGCTTTTATATATCTTGTCATGACACAACAATTCTTCACACTTAATGAATTAATTTTAACTATTGTATGTCAAGGTCAGTTTGGCTGAAAGTCATATTTGTGTTTGCACTCTATCTTTGTTATGTGTTGTTGATACCATTTTAAGTCTATGTGTTAGTGACATTCAGTATATAGTGCTGTAATGATGACTATGCTTGTTGATATGAAAATATTTATAGATAAAGAATTTTGGCATGTTGGCTTTCTGGTACATAAATGGGAATTTTTCTTCCCCATTGAATTGTTTTAAATGATTTAATAATTCTGACTGCTTATATATCGTCACTTTTACAGTAATACATGTATGTTTAATGTCTATTATCAGATACGACACGGCAACCCGGGAAACGAAGGAAGCGTAAATCTTCAACAGGAAGTGCAGCTAACGTGAATAACAGTGTCGCTGCATCAGGCAAGAAGAACCGGTCACCAGGTCCTCAGGGTATCAATACCTCAGTACCTGGGGTAAGTAAAGTGAGTCCTTTTCTCTTTGATTATACCATCTTGACCCTGCCATTGAAACAAAGGTAAAAATTGTTGATCCCATCCATTGCTTTAAATGTAGAGTGAACTTATCCTTTGAGTTTCGACTTGATGACGGTGTCCTGTGTTAAATTGTAATGTTTTGTTTTTGTAATGTTTGATCCAATCCTTTAGGACAAGACCTGTAAGAAGTCAAAACTGAATTTCACCTTGAATAATGATCTTGACATTGATGGTCAAATTTTTGTCTTTTAACTTTTTCTTTGCTTTAATTGGCTATAACTTAACTATTCAGTAGAATTATTTTGGTAAATGTGCAGTTCCATTGGTGTTATGAATGAATACTTGTCAGTTGTGTACAATAAATACATGTCTGACCTTGCTGTTGTTGTTTTGTGTAGTGTCTGTTGATACTATCATGGCAACAAGCATTAGTTACAGGTGTATTTTGTAACAATGGCACTCTTTGTTGTATCTCTGTGACTCTGGATCGAGAGACAATTTTGTTTTCCATGACCAGTAATTTATGAATATGCCCTGCATGTATTCCCAAAATCACAACTATAACATAATGTTTTAATACAAAGTGGGAAAATGTGAAAGATTATTGTTTAATGACTTGTTTCTGTATTATAGGATGTAATGGTGGTAGGAGAGCCTACATTAATGGGTGGAGAGTTTGGAGATGAAGATGAGAGACTTATAACACGTCTGGAGAATCAACAGTTTGAGAATAATGCCAATGAAGAGGAAAAATTTGCTGCAAATTCTCCCGCTCTACAGCAACATAATAGTCCATGGGGTGGGGACAAGAAACCACCAATACCAACCTCTGGGGGTCCACAGTCAGTTTCAGAGGTGGATACAAAAACTGAGCAATGACTGGATGAGTTTTGTGAATGAGTTTTTGATGTATTCAAAAGTTTAGTATGGCTGATTCATGTGAACATGAACATGCTCCAGCAAAGTGTTATATTGAACATTTAATGTTCAGTATAAATATTTTGGAAAACTGCCAAGGTTTATGAATTTCTGGTGAGAAGATTCATGATGTGAAAATGAAAGTGCTTTTTCAGATTTTGGAAATGATTTTTATGATTGTTGTTAGGGCATGATTTAGAGAGATTTAAAACGGAAATAATCGAGTAAGAAAGATTTCACCTTTAGATTTGATGTGATTATGTAAATAAAAATTGGCAGATATTGTGTTTACAAAGAAAAGTTATGTTTTGACTTCATACAAGAGAAGGCTGTCTCAGGATCAAGTTGTAGTATATAGATATTTGTTTCCCTGGTACCAGTCGAGTTTTTATCTCCCATTGGTTACCATTATTTGTTGTAATTGAATTTTAATTATTTGGGACAAAACTGTACTGAAAGCTCAGTTCAATAGCCTTGAACTCACTGTTATTGAAAGTATGAACACTGTTACAGCAGCCTTTGTGCTTTATGTGAATTTCTTTTCATAATTGGTTTAGTATATGATCAGATTAGATTGATTTTTCAGACAAACTTTTAACAAGAAATAGATATATTTGATGACAAAATTGTTATGATATTTTATGTATATTGCTTAAAAATTGTATTTATGTTTATTCAACGTTAATTTAGATAAGATAAGTCATTTAGCCCTTAAACTGCTGAATTTCTTAAGTGGACTTGTCCAGCTTCCATTTTTGGAATTTGTCAATCATAAATTTTTGGGGATACCGAGTTGAAAATTTCAAGCTGGACAGCCCCATTATACATTTTTAGGGATACCAAGATAAAAATTTCAAGCTAGACAGCCCCATTATACATTTTTAGGGATACCAAGATAAAAATTTCAAGCTAGACAGCCCCATTATACATTTTTAGGGATACCAAGATAAAAATTTCAAGCTAGACAGTCCCATTATACATTTTTAGGGATACCAAGATAAAAATTTCAAGCTAGACAGCCCCATTATACATTTTTAGGGATACCAAGATAAAAATTTCAAGCTAGACAGCCCCATTATACATTTTTAGGGATACCAAGATAAAAATTTCAAGCTAGACAGCCCCATTATACATTTTTAGGGATACCAAGATAAAAATTTGAAGCTAGACAGCCCCATTATACATTTTTAGGGATACCAAGATAAAAATTTGAAGTTGGACAGCCCCATTATACATTTTTAGGGATACCAAGATAAAAATTTCAAGCTGGACAGCCCCATTATACATGTTTAGGGATACCAAGATAAAAATTTGAAGTTGGACAGCCAGATAACAGTATAGAGCCTGATTAGACTGTGTATAGTGCAGGTTAGGCTTGCTCTATAATGGTGACAACACTTTTTGGTTCCAGCAGGCTAAAGGTTAAGACTTACATTAAAATTATCTCTATGATACACGATTTTATTTTACCATTGGTATAGAAAAACAACAGAAGAAAAAAGTCATTGGTTTGATATATTAACTTGTATAGCTGTTTTAGCATTTTTACATTAAACATTTTTCCCATTTTGTAAATGACCATGATGCTGTCACTCATCTTTGTCATTGTAAATGCCATTTCAAACTCTTTAATTATAGCATCATAGGTCATCAAGGGTTTTGTTATAGTAATTGATATAAATTGATCATTAAGTTCATGGATTTTGAACAGTTTTTCTTTTAAACTTGCAAATAATGTGTATCATTTGTATAATTATTATTATTATATATACAACTCTAGCATTTATCTCTCACTCATAATCTCATATTTCTGTTTTTCTCTATATCTTTCTTTACATTTCTGCCTATACTGTACAATTGTATAGAATTATTATATTATGAATCTTCTAAGCCATTTTGCATTTATGTATTTGTTCAAGCCATTCAAGTTTTAAAAGTTTTATATTTATGTAAAATGTCAAATTTAAGCTCTTATCATCTTTTATAGGTTATGATTGAGATCTGCTCCATTTATATGTATTGCTGGAAAAACACCAAATCTAGTGCTGCACACCATTTTCTGTGAACTTATAAAAAGTTGACATTGAGTGAGATATTATTTCATTGGTAAGGGTTAATAATCTCATGAATTTTCTGGTCATGAATCTTTCATTTTCCTTCATAATTTATGAAAAAGGGTAAATTGTTATCATTCTCTCTCTCTCTCTCAATTTGCATTTAATTTTGTTAGGTATTTTGTTGTTTGTTAATGATAAACCATAGAAAACACGGTATTGTGTTTTAGACTTTTTGAGCAATAATAACCTCATAATAGAAAAAAAACATGATATTAATGGCCTTTCTCTATTAGATTGTTTATGAATTTCATTTTCTGTTGAACTAGAGTATCGAATAGAAATTTGGACAGAAGTTTGACTATCTTAATGCTAGTCTCAGATATGGTTAATTGTCACAAGTTTTAAGGTAACTATAGTAGAGCTTATATCAAAATAGAAAAATGAGCGTCCCACCAGCTTCAGAATAATGTGCCTCATAGAACCTAGGAAGTTGTAGTTAAAATAATGATGTACTAATATTCATCTACATCTATAGGCATCTACTTGTAAACTTAGTCCATGTATGTCTTCAATGTTTGATTTTTACATTTTCGTGTGTATATGTGCTACATGATATTTTTGTTGAAACTTCCTATATCTCTTTGAGAAATTTTCACTTTAACATTCAAGCTGTCCTGCTAAATTTGCTTAATGGGCTTGCTCTGGAGTTTTTTTAATGGATTTGATATTTGAATTACAATTCTGAAAATTCTGAAATCAAGAGGTCCTGTCAGATTGTATATATGGAAATGTAGGCAAATTCAGCTCTATACTGTTAACAGTAACTTAGTCAAGTCAAAATTGTGTTTGGTTTTTGGTGATTAATAGATATCTATGACTCAGAAAAGCTCACAAAGTTTCCAGATTTATTTTTATATGAGCAGCCCCACGACAAAACCAACTTAGTGTGTTTGCGACCAGCATCCACACAGTCTGATCAGGATCCATGCGGTTCGCTATTAGTTTCCCTACTTGTAATAGGGTTTGTAAGCGAACAGTATGGATCCTGATCAGACTGCGCGGATGAGCAGGCTGGTCTGGATCCATGCTGGTTGCAAACGCACTATTTTGGTTTTGTCATAGCGTGACTGATATATTCTCTATAGTTTAAAGACATTATTTCTTACCTTCATACTAGACATCACATGCTTCATGAACATTTTGAAAATAAAGCGTGAATGTTTTCATTGTAAAAAAGCCATTTAATGTGTTTGGACATCTTTTATGAGAAGAAAGGTGCTATATTTTTGTATTTGACATCTGTGTTGTACCTCAGTCCATAACATTGTCATTACTTGCTTCTTACAACATATATTATATCACCATATAAACACTTCAAATTAATCAGTTTTCGCTTTGAAAAAAACTACAGCCAAAAAAAAATTGAAAAATCTACACTGAGTGAGAATAGGCAAAAAAAGGGAAAAACCCAACTTTTGACAAGGTTTTTTTTTTTTCTGTGTTAAAAAGGGAATAATCTTTTTTAAAACTCTTTAAAAAACTTAAACAATTAAAATATCTTTTAAAAAAAAATTCATTTTAAAGGGTCTTAAATATATTTTTTTTAAATTAAACAGTGAAACATTAAAATTTTTTTCTGGGAAAGAAAAGAACCTTTTGGTTTTTGTGGGTGGTCTTTGGGAAAAACTGAAAACCTTTTTTGTTAATTTAGCAACAAACCATACTAAAATTTTAAATTCTTATTAGAATTTTCTAGAAATATGTGCATTACCCCCTTTTTCTTTTCTTCTTATTTTTTAAATGATATAGATATTTTTCCTTTTGTACGCGTGTTCCTAAGGTTTGTTTTTTCAGTTGATCTATTTATTTTTGGGAACCTTTTGCGGGCATCTTTTATGGGGTCCAAAAAATTTAAAACTAAAACTAAAAAAATTTAAAATAAAAAGTTTCTGTTTGGTTGATTTGAAACTTAAAATTTGAACTTTACCACCAGTTCCTTGTTTATAAATTTAATCCTTAACTTGCTATATCTAAATGTGATAACCCTTTGTCACAAGTAGAGATCCAGGTCAGTCTGTACAGCCATGGGTAGTTAAATTCTTTAATTTGAAATTGAAATCCCTGGAACTGTGAATGGACTGTTCCAAATTTAAAGCAGGACAAATCCATTACACAAATTAAGTGGGTAAAGGGTTGAATCATTGACAAATGCCAGAATTTAATGAAGTAGAAATTTGAATATTCAAAAAAAAAAGGTAGAAAATACTTCGTAGGAATAGGTAATAACTTCTAATAATAATCCATTCTGTCAAAGCCTCCTTTGAATAATATATCCACATAAAACTATGAAAATACTGGTGCTTGTTGATTTTTTAAGATCAAATAAAAATAAAGCAACATGATTTGATGCAATGATACAGAAAGATCACTATCAGTTCTCTACAGAGCCATTACATGAAGGATCTAGGCTGTTTCTTTGTTTAATAAAATCTGTTGATTTGTAAAAAACCATATGTAAATTTTGAAGACGACTAATACTTTCTCATTCTTTTAGCTTACCTTGAAGCTTTGCGTACTGGCAGCAAATATATCTACCCATGTTGCAAGTGCAGACTAAGATTTGATGTGTTGTCTGATTAAGGTCTGCTTTGTTCACTTTATGAGCCCCGTCACGAAAAAACCAACATAATGGGTTTGCGACCAGCATGGATCCAGACCAGCGCAGTCTGATCAGGATCCATGCTGTTCACTATCAGTTTCTTTACTTGTTATAGGGTCTGTAAGCGAACAGCATGGATCCTGATCAGACTGTGAGGTGTGCAGGCTGGTCTGAATCCATGCTGGTCGCAAACACATTATAGTGGTTTTGTCGTGACTCGGCTCTTATAGTCAGTACTGATTTTTAATTTTTTCTCTAAAACTGATTGTTTTTTGTCCAGATTGAAAGATGCAAAAATCTATTTAAGATATATCTAGCATGGTAAGGATTAAATGTAAATAAGGGAGGTAACTTCAGATGCCACAATATATAAGTGCTAAATATTGTTTTAGTATGATATAATGTGAAGCACTTATCTCATTAGGCTTAAAAAAAAGATAAACAGATGGCCAGTACCTTTAATATTTAGACACATGTTTTACAGAAATATACATTAATTTTCATCATCTTTTTTTTGTCTGTTAAAATGTTTCAAATGATGAAACTGTTATCATGCATAGTTAACAATTCATTCTTAAAGAAATAGAAAATATTGTTTGTTTTAAAAGTAATTTATATTTTGACCATAGGATTTGGTTTTATTTTCCAATGGATTTTTTTAAGTTATTAAAGGCCCATTATGCCTTAGAGATGCTATCAGTTGACTTTATTTTTGGTATCTTTTTGCAATTTCAAAAAAACCCAAAAAAACTCATCTGGCAAGTAGATGAACCATCTTTAACTTCTTTTGCTCTGTGGGCAATGGGTATAATCATACTTAATTAGTATTTTGTATGGAAAACTGCTATCTGTACAACACAATACTGCACATTCAGTGTAGCTTTCTTCAGTTGTTAAACATCTTATATATTAAAACATTATGTAACACCGTTTTGACATTTCTAAAGAATTAAAAATATATGGATTTCTGAGGCATAATTTACCTTTAAGTTTTTCTTTGCTGCAACAGTAAATTTAAATGGTTTTCTTGTTTCCTTTTTAAATTTTATTTTTCCCGAAAAATGGTTTTACTCAAAACAAATGTATGTTATTCCTACATTAAGGGAAAATTTTTTTTTGTACATTGTTAGCTATAAATTTGGGAATTTTATGTGTTTTTTTTATTTTATTAATGTTTAAAGGAAATTTTTGTTTATTTTTTTCAAGTCATCCTGGTTACAGTAGATATTTAAAAACAATAAATGAGCCCTACCCTTTTACAAAACCAAAAAATAGTGGGGGGGTTTGCGGAACCCCCAAAGGATCCGACCAGCCTGGGAAAAAATTCCCGGGGCCCCCGGGGCTGATCTGGATCCCTCTGTTTTTGCTATCAGTTTCCTCTAAATTGTAATAGAGTTGGTTTAAATGAACCCGCTGGACTTATCGCGCCCGGATGTGCAGGCTGGTCTGGATCCATGCTGGTTGCAAACGCACTATGTTGGTTTTGTCGTGACGCAGTTGAAATAGAGAACAGTTTATAATTAAAGGTATCAACTTTAAAAAGATGGTCCATGTTTTTAAAGTGATAAGAAATGAGATTTTGCTTTTAGCTTAGTCTGATAATCATGGAATCCCTAAAATATTCATGCCTTTTATACTGTTTCAACATGATACCAGCTGAGGCTCTGAACTGTAGATGTCAAACGTTGGTGATGGTGTTGGTAGCTTTCACTCAGGATCACGACAGTAAGCCACATTGAATTCACCAGAGCTCAGTTCAACCATCACATCGTTCCTGGGCAGGCTGTCAAGTAGTTTACCAGTACTAGTCGCCTTCACTTTCGCAAGGAACTGAAACTTCTGTATGTGCCAGAGCAGAGGTACAGTGCGAATGACTGTAGAAAGGATTTCATGATCAATCACAATGAAAGTGACCTGCGCCGTCCAGGAATCGAACCCAGGTTGCCCGATCCACAGTCCAATGCTCTACCTAGATGTCAAACTTTTGACAGAATAATTCATATGCACAATTGGCAGTGACCATAATACTGTTAATGTATATACCTGAAAACCAATTTAACCAATTACAGATAATTTAAAATGTATAGGATGATACCTTCTGTTTTATACTATCTAAAGTTACAGTGCTAAGGTGCCTGCTGTTTTATACCATCCAAATCTATCCAGCTAGCTTACAAGTCAGTTTCTTGACCAGGGTACCTGCTGGCACCAGATATATATATAGAGGAATACCAGAGACCTTCCTACATTTATAAACTGAAGTCAATAGCCTACATGAATTTCACGAAGTTAGTGGAACTTTAAACAAAACCAATACAGTACAATACCATTGAAAGTTGTAAATTACAGATTACCATGTAACATCATTAGTTCAGCCTAAGTGTCTCTGGGACCTTTCCAGTGTTTACAGTTTTATGTAAATTAGCTAACTTGTTATCCAATCGCTACACTGAGATAATTCATAGTCACTGGTTGACCTGGTTTACACAAAAGAACAAAGAACATGGGCTTATATTTGTGATACTGTTTGTGAGCAGTTGACCTAGCAATGAATGGAAAAGGTGTGGCTAAATGTTCCGCTACAAAAAACCGGAAAGGTCCATAACTAGTGAAACAGATATAATGGTATAAAATAGTGACTGTATAGAGAAGGGAGTTAACTATCCAAACACATTAAGACTAATGAAATACAGGGTCATTGTTCTTTGCTTTTGTAAATAGATTAACAATTTTAACTATGGTCAGTCCACATTTTTTGTTCTGTGAAAGAGATGAATAATTTCAGTTCATAATTTACAGAACAGAATACACAAATGCCAACATAAAATACCTTGTATAATACCATTCTAGAGCACAGTACCTTGGTGTCACAATATCAGAAAATTATAACCTGGGACAGATTGACAGCATTTTTGAAAAAAGGAAACCAAACACTAAGCTTGCAGACCTGCGACCACTCTGAACCACTCAAAAGTAAAGCCTGCAAAACACTTGTCCAACCCCAAATTGTCTGGTCACGGCAAAATGACCAGTCTCATTAACCAGACTTGAGTCTCTACAGGGTAATGCTGCCACCTTGTCTAGGACCATGTAAGCCAGATTGAGCATGTCTCACCCTATTATACACGCCTGCCTTACTTTTATCTATTTTAAACTTTTATCTTACTTTTAAACCTCAGAGTTTAGGTTAGGTCCCAAGCAGGTGTTTGACTAAATAGACAATATATTATATTAGATAGATATTTACTTTTATGCAGTTTTTGGAGTAGAGGCCTTGGGCAGTACCCCTTGTTGCACTATTTCAGACACCTTAGTGGGACTAACAACTTATAGAGACAAACTACCTTAAATTCTCGTACTTGAAAGAAGTGATTGCCTCCTGCAATAATGGTAAATAAGATGCAATTAGCCCTTAAAACCTCCTGAATTTCTTAAATGGATTTTGCCCAGCTTTCATATTTGGGACTGTCCATCAATTTTGGGGATATCTAGATAGACAACAGTGAAGAACTTGGTCTGAGACACCTCATCAATTGAAACAATGGCAGAGAACAAAATTTTGAGCCGCGCCATGACAAAACCAACATAATGGGTTTGCACCAGCTGTTCGCTATCAGTTTCAATACTTGTTATAGGGTTTGTAAGCGATCAGCAAGGATCCTGATCAGACTGCGCGGATGCGCAGGCTGGTCTGGATCCACGCTGGTCGGAGGTTTTGTCGTGACACAGCTCAAATGATATTAGGCATATTATTGCCAAGCAAATCCATACAGGTAAACATCAGCCTTACAGTGGACTTACACACATGACCCAGGAACAGAAGTCCATTTGCTTGCCCTGAACAGATGGCAAAACTTGTATAGTCATATATTCTATACGTATTTCTTATAAAGATAAAGTCTAAGATTATGTTTGCACCAATTTTTATTATAAAAACTCAACAATGATACACAAATATTTCAAGCTTAGAAAGTATATATACAAAAACAAAATATGGAAAAAAATAAAGACATGCAATAACAGAAGAGGACCCAATGTGATTTTTTACTTTGTGTAATTTACTATAGTACTGTGATCATAAATAATAAAATTATTACAAGTCAGGGTCACTGTCACCTTAAACTTTCACCTTACTATCTTCACAAAATTAAAGGTCATTTGCTGATCCCTAGTAAGTGTCCATTTAAGTTAGGCAGTTGAAGGCTAAAACCTTCACCCTTAAATTAGAAAAAATAATAACTTGTGATGGACTTACATAATTTCAGGTCACATTTTTCCATTTAAATATTTTGATCTTTTTAAATTCTTAAAAAATTCCTTAAACTGCAAATTTTGCATAGAATTTTTCTCAAAAATCATTAATGTAAACCATAAACATATACTGGAGGACAATAATCAAGCTAGTTGTTCATCAAATATTTAAAAAGATGACTATTTATATACAAGATTGTGAAATAATTTATTTACAAAAGCTGAAAATAAACTACCATATGCTGGTGATGAAAACACATTCCTTGGTGATTATAAGAAATTCAAGATGCTAATATTTCTACATTAACAACAAAAGGGCCATGATGGCCCTGAGGTCGCTCACCTGTATGAAGTCCCCCGGAGTGGGGCCAGTTTAAACCCCAGGGCTTTTATTTAAACAAACTTGGAAGACACCCATTAGAAGATGTTTCATGATGTTAAGTTTTTACTACACACATATAATGAAAAACAATGACCTTCTCTCCACTCCCCCCCTGGCAGGGCCAATTTTAACCCAAGGGCATTTATTTGAAAAAACATGGTAGACACCCATTAGAAGATGTTTCATGCTAAACATCTAAGCTCTAGCTCATTGGTTTTTTTAAAAGAAGATTTTTAAGTTTTTACTATAAACATAAAGTTAAAAACAATGACACCCCTGGGGCGGGGCCAGTTTTGAGCCTAGGGCTTTTATTTGAACAAACTTTGTAGACACTTACTATAAGATGTTTCATGCTTAATATCTAAGCTCTAGCTCATTGGGGTTTTTAAAAGAAGATTTTTTAATTTTTTACTATACACATATAAGGAAAACCAATGACCCCTGAGGCGGGGCCAATTTTGACCCCAGGGCTTTTATTTGAACAAACTTTGTAGACACTCACTAGAAGATGTTTCATGCTAAATATCTAAACTAGAAGATTTTTAAGTTTTTGCTATACACATATAAGGAAAATCAATGACACCCCTGGGGCGGGGCCAATTTTGACCCCAGGGCTTTTATTTGAACAAACTTTGTAGACACTCACTAGAAGATGTTTCATGCTTAATATCTAAACTATAGCTATTTGGGTTTTTTCAAAGAAGATTTTTAAGTTTTTGCTATACACATATAAGGAAAATCAATGACCCCTGGGGCGGGGCCAATTTTGACCAAAGGCCTTTTATTTGAACAAACTTTGTAGACACTCACTAGAAGATGATTCATGCTAAACATCTAAGCTCTAGCTCATTGGGTTTTTTAAAAGAAGATTTTTTAATTTTTTACTATACACATATAGTTAAAAACAATGACATCCCTGGGGCGGGGCCAGTTATTACCCTAGGGCTTTTATTTGAACAAACTTTGTAGACACTTACTAGAAGATGTTTCATGCTTAATATCTTAGCTCTAGCTCTTTGGGTTCTTTAAAAGAAGATTTTTTAAGTTTTTACTATATGCCTATAGGGAAAATCAATGACCCCCTAGGGCGGGGCCAATTTTGACCCTAGGGCTTTTATTTGAACAAACTTGGTAGACACTCACTAGAAGATGTTTCATGTTAAATATCTAAGCTCTAGCTCTTTGGGTTTTTTAAAAGAAGATATTTAAAGTTTTTTCTTTTGGTTGCCATGGCAACCAGAGTTCTGCATGGAATTAAATTCTTTGAACAATTTTTAAAGGTGACCACCAAAGAAACATTCCTGTGAAGATTGGATGCAATTGGCTTAGTGTTTTATGAGGAGATGTCATTTAAAGTAAAAGTTTATGGCCAGACGGAGGCCGGACGAAAAGCGATCACAAAAGCTCACCCTGTCACTTTGTGACAGGTGAGCTAAAAATGTAGATAAAACAAAATGATCATATAATATCAAAAAGAGGTGGATTCTGGATAAGGTTAACACAACCTATGAACTACCTAAAGATGTCCTTATTTTCAAATAAATAACATTTTAAACATTTGTACATGTATAAACAATGACTTTCTTATATTTCAAGAAGAAAACTATAAAATCGACACAATTTTTTAAAATTATTTTGTAGTGCTGGCTATGACAATATCAGAAATGCTTCACTATACATGCTAGTTTGTCCCGGTAAATAATCCAGACACTTACTGTCTTACCTACAATATAATACTTGATATCCCTCGACTTAACATTGTGATTTGATTTAGTACTTGATATCCTTTAATTAAAAAGACAAGTTTATAACATAAACTTTGCTGGTAAGGCTGAATATTTACCCTGGTTATTTTTTTCTATAGAGCTCTGTAACAGCAATACAATTACCTTCACCTTTCTAGCCATATACATATAAACTGACTATTACTGTCACCAATGTCTGAATATACGAGCTCGTACATATATATATCATTCTTACATATCACTTTTTTTTCAGTCATAGAAAGAAGAAAACATCAAAGTGGAACATCCTCTCATTAAAGTAGATCCCTAAAAATTGTGCATGTTTTGTAGACAACAAAATATAGTCGCAACATTGTGTCAGTTATAGTTGGAATACTACATGGACGTGGTTTAGTAGTTCAGAGATCACACTGACTCATAAAAAAATTCAACATGATACTTTGATTTTACCTTCTTGTTACACTCAGATGGTATAACGAAAATAACTGTATATTCTAGACATAATAGAAGACCTGAATGACTATAATTGTTGAGGAAAAAAAGTTAAAATGTGCATAATTCAACACATAGACTAACACAAGTACATGTAAAACATTTACAGATCAATCAATGTCTACCAGGTACATAAAACAAGTAAGAAAATTACCATGCAATAAAAATTCCCCTATCAATCTGGCAATGTCAAGCCAAACAGAGCCATGATTCGAATATTGACTATAAGTTAGCTGAAATCAATACAAATGATGTTTGTTGTTAATGATAGATGAAGGTTAATTTTATATAACAGATAATAAAAAGATAACATGCCTAATAAGTGGAAGTTATAAATTCAATTATTTCACAACAAATAGAAACATTCTATTTTTTTTAATATAAAGAGCAGAGTAATAAATGCACGTTGCTTTGTCATCTGTGAGACTTCACTAAAGGTTTGTAGATTCTGTTTAAGTTCAAAAGTAAATGGATGAATGTGGGTGCAAGTTAGAAATACTTATTATTTCAATTGGTTTTATAAAGAAATAGAGAGCTTTCAAGAGTAAAAAAACCCTGAATTTCAGACAATTGCCTGAAAACTTGCATCCACGGATGAAACATTTCTGGGAATTAACAATTTGCTATTTTTTGTAAGTAAAAAGGGAAACAATTCTGTTAATACATGTATAAGTAAAAGAGTTAGTACTGTATTGTGTAAACTATTAATTACACCAATAGAGTTTATAAAAAGTCTCAATCAAATGTTTCAACATGTTCCAGAAACATTCAAGGAAATGACGATATTTGGACAATTTGCAATGTGAAAAAGGAGAATAACTTTGTGAAATCAAATATCAGATTTATGGAGCATGACATGTGAATTGGTCTTTTGAATATCAAAATGTGTAGCAATTTACATTGGATATCTATATGGCTTCAAAAGTGTATCACAATTTCTGCCATATTTCAAAATCTATTTGTTGACATAGCAACCAAAATTCTCAACGTTAAAGAACAAAGTAAATGATGATGGTCATATTATCAATATTCCGATTTATCCATGTTGCAAGTTTCATGAAAATTTTTCCAAATGCTTTTTGAATTAGCACAGAATCTAGTTTTCTGTGACTGGACAAATTGAGTTGTATGAGAAAAAATATCACTTACTGATAGAACTTGACAAACAAAAATTATCACTTATTGATAAAACTAAGAATTTGTTTAAAATAAAAACAATATCACTAAAAATATAAAATATTGTCAGCTTAATTAAGTCTTCCAGCAATGTACAAAAGCTAATTATTCAGAAATTGTCATGAATCTTTGAGAAAATATTTAAATAGGATAAATATATTGCAATTTTTAATGATAACATAGGTCACATACAATCACATATATTTTTCTAACTGTTGTTCACTTACAGCTGAAACCAATTGTTTTTAATCTCAATTCTTAACTTACCAGCAGAATTAAGTTTATCAAAAATAAATAAGTTATTACGAAATGCCAAACAAAATGCAGAAATATTGATAGTTGACTGGTACACAAGTGTGCCAAATAAATCTGATAGAATAACATGTAAGCATAAATAAGATTGCTTATAACTAGGCAGTTCAGTCTTAAGTCTGCTTAATATAAAAATATTAAGACATAATGACTATACAAATATACTGTCCAACAGTTATACCCCCACTGTTAGCTGATTTGTTCTGTGATACTTTTGGCATCTTACACTTCATTCTAATAGTTTTCATATAACTATCATGATAACTTATGATTTTATGTTGTTCTTAATCAAATAGATAAAACTAAATTTTCAAATTTGTTCTTTACTTTGTATCAACATGGAGAGCATACAAAATATGCCACATTTTTTTACAAAGTTAAGATGGATGAAGTATCTTAGATAAAAGACTATGGTAACTCCAATGTAACGACCAATTTTGCTACATACACATCCATTTTTATTACCCATATAACTACACCTGTTCTATCACTAACTAATCATCACACCAATGTTCATTTCACATTTAGCACTGTAATATCTGTTTATGTACAAAGTACAATATAAATATCAGCTAGCTCCGCAACGCCTCTAATTTTGCCATGAGATCCTCCGCTTCATCGTCACTAGTTGCTGCAGTGGCGCCCTCTGGCTCTTTCATGGCTGGTAATGTGTCAGTTACAGCAGTAGGTGCTTTACCCAATTCTCCTGAAATTTTAAGAAGTTAATATTCTATCATTATAAGAAACTTAACAGAAAAGTAGATAATATTTGCTTTGATGTCTGAAAACTAAGAAAGAATAAAATAGGAATATTAAATATAATCTTTTCTGAAGACCTGAACCTGTGAAAATGTCTTTTTGTGTTGAAATCATTTATATGAATAGGTATTATACAACATTAAATTATTCCTAACATAGATAATATGGCAAAATGCCAGCAAAACCAATTATAAAATAACGCAAAATTAAAATTATGAGACATTGCATAAAAATATCTATAAATAAAGCTTAAAGTGACATTATGCTCATTTTTTCATGATGAAGTTGAGCTGAATTCATTATATATTTCAACACAATGACTGATATAATGATGATTGGTACAAGGGGATATTGGAAATTTAGAATAAACTAGAACTGCCACTATCATGGCGTGAATACCCCCGCATACCACTTTGTCAGAATCAACAGTGGCCATTTAGAGCTCAAGGACAACCTCCCTGCCAAATCTGAGGTAACTAAGCCAGTGCATTGCTAAGTTATGTATTCTACATGCTTCAAATGTGAAAATGTCAAAATCAATACATTGCGGACAGGACATTCTTTAGCAATTGAGAAGAAAAGCTTTTTTTTTGTCAAGGTCCCTGTGACCTTGACCTTTGACCCAGTGACCTCAAAATCAATAGGGGTCACCTTATAGTCATGATCAACATCCATGCCAAATATGAAGACTGTGGGTCAAAGGAATCTTAAGTTAATGGGTGGACAAACTTTTTGAAGTCACAGTCCCTATGACCTTGACCTTTGATCCAGTGACCTCAAAATCAAAAGGGGTCATCTACTAATCATGATCAACATCCATGCCAAATATGAAGACTGTGGGTCAAAGGAATCTAAAGTTATTGGGCAGACAAACTTTTTGAAGTCAAAGTCCCTGTGACCTTGACCTTTGACCTGGTGACCTCAAAATCAATAGGGGTCATCTACTAATCATGACTAACCTCCATGCCAAATATGAAGACTGTGGGTCAAAGGAATCTTAAGTTATAGGGCGGACAAGCTTTTTGAAGTCAAGGCCCCTGTGACCTTGACCTTTGACCTGGTGACCTCAAATTTAATAGGGGTCATCTATTAATCATGACTAACCTCCATGCCAAATATGAAGACTGTGGGTCAAAGGAATCTTAAGTTATTGGGCGGACAAGCTTTTTGAAGTAAAGGCCCCTGTGACCTTGACCTTTGACCTGGTGACCTCAAAGTCAATAGGGGTCATCAACTTATAATAACAAGCCTCCATGCCAAATATGAAGACTATGGGTCAAAGGAATCTTAAGTTATTGGGCGGACAAGCTTTTTGAAGTCAAGGCCCCTGTGACCTTGACCTTTGACGTAGTGACCTCAAAATCAATAGGGGTCATCTACTAATCATGACTAACCTCCTTGCCAAATATGACGACTGTAGGTCAAAGGAATCTTAAGTTATTGGGCGGACAAGCTTTTTGAAGTCAAGGCCCCTGTGACCTTGACCTTTGACCTAGTGACCTCAAAATCAATAGGGGTCATCTACTAATCATGACTAACCTCCTTGCCAAATATGACGACTGTAGGTCAAAGGAATCTTAAGTTATTGGGCGGACAAGCTTTTTGAAGTCAAGGCCCCTGTGACCTTGACCTTTGACCTAGTGACCTCAAAATCAATAGGGGTCATCTACTAATCATGACTAACCTCCATGCCAAATATGAAGACTAAGGGTCAAAGGAATCTTAAGTTATTGGGCGGACAAGAAAAAACCGCCGGACGGACGGCCGGACGGACAAGCTGATTCCAGTATACCCCCCTTACAACTTTGTTGTGCGGGGGTATAAATATAAATCTGCCTAAAATATATAAAAGACTGCACTACCCCTTCTATAAAATGAACCTAACATGCAAATTACACTGGATATTTACATGAATTTCCTTGAGCTATGTGAGTTATTTATTTAGATGTGAAGTAAATTATCAAACTGAAAAGAATTATGGCAATTATTATTATAACAATTTTTCAATTGTTTACTTACTATATACCCTCGGATTGGCATAATCAATGTAACTTAAAAATCTTGAAGTTCACAAAGGCAGAAAACTCTCCATACACTTTTAAATACAAATCACTTTGAGTTATAATAGCTTTTTTGCAACAAACAGAATAAAATGGCTATTACGATACGGCCAATAAAGTGACAGAGTGTATTTACCAGCAGTTAATTCATATAAGACTTTATCAACTTCTTCCTGTGCAGCCTCCTCCATTTCGTCCGAGTCTTCTAACCCTTCCATTGTATCTTCTAACATCTCCTCAATAATTCCAGCCTGTAATAATAACATATCTGATTAATGTAACCTATAAACATAACATATAACATATGTGAATAATTTAACCTATAATCACAGGTTTTTCCAGGATTTTGAGAACATGCCCATACCAATGGAATTGGAATTTTCAGCCATGTTTTGTTAAAAATTGGGAAAGAATCATGACTTAAATTTTGCAGTGATTAAATGAATGCAAAGAATCACTGTCTAGGATGGCATCTTCAAATATTTAAGCACCATAACAGTGAAGAAGTCCTAATTTTCAAAGATTTTAGAATTTGTTAGTCAATCTTTTTATTTTGTAACTTTCAATTGGGAATTTTTTCCTGTGGATTGGGAAAATAACACACTATTTTCAATTGGGAATATGACCGAAAATATTGGCTATGAAATAAGCCAAAAAAAAATCCCTGAATCATAACATATAACATATCTTAAAAATATATACTATAATCACAACATATATCTGAATAATATAACCTATAATCATAACATATAACATATCTGAATAATATAACCTGTAATCATAATAAATCACAATATGAATAAATAACATGTATTATGACATATAGTGTATCTGAATAATATAACCTGTAATAAAAACATATCTGAACCATAATCTGAAAGTGACAAACTGGTATAACATATAACAAATTAACAAAACTACATTATTCACTTACTAGCAAAATAAAAAACACTCAGAAAAATTTAATGAAGTTTATTTTGTATCACAATTTCAACGTTTTGATAAGTTAATTGAAACTAATTATGTACCTACTTCACATGGAAAATTTTACATGACTGAAGCAAAAGATAATTCTTCTTACCTAAACTGATTTTCAATGATCATGATCAAACATAAGTTAATATGGTACTACATAATTGTCCATGATCAATCTTGGGGATATCATTGAAAATAATAGTCAGCCACCAGTAAAGAGCATGGTATGACCAACATGTATGTAAGGCAAAAATTTCTATTCAACTTCTAGCAGAATAAGGGTTTAACGTAGTCATACTGTAATGCTTTCCCGCCAAAAACATTCTAATATCGGTCAATAGCTTAACAAATCAGTTATTTCTGGAAACTTATTTTTTTCAAAACCTTGGGCAAAGGATTATTTACAATCACTCATCCTTCATCACTTTGTTTTATATTCCTGTTATAAATAGTTAAAAATTATTTCATACCAAAGATTGTGAAAAAAATAATTTCCAGAGATGACCAATTTATTATGATATTGACCAATGTTAAAAATATTTTGGAGGGAAAGCATTACAATAAGACTACCTAAAATACCTTCATCATCTCTTTGGACATCTCCATCATGGTTCTCTGTATTTCAGGTAGTTTGATCAATGCCTGCATTGACTTCATTACATCTGTACTCTTCTCTAGAGCACCTGCTATACGTAATGTTGCTGCAATAATAAATTACATGCTGTCAGTTATACATAATGTTGCTGCAATAATAAATTACAGGTTTGTGTAATGATAAACTGTCAGTTATATGTAATGTTGCTGCAACAATAAATTACATGTTTGTGTAATGAAAACTCTGAGTTTAAGTACATATGTAGAAGATATATAAGACCCTGAAACTTTCACTCTATAACAAAGTAAATGTAATTACCAGGATCCATGAGATATACAAAAGCAAGCTATATTTTTCATGATTAAAGTGAGACATAATGGAAAAATTATTGCCCTTTTTTAAAATGATAGCTTGATTTTAAGTCATTCATGAGAATAAACAAACTTTCAAGAGGGACATCTGAATCCTTTGATAATTTTTATTTTTACAACCTTACCAACCTCCTCCATTATTTTTACAACTTCATGAGAAGAAATTAGCTTAATATACATTTGTATTAGAAAATTATTTTTATCTTAGCTTGACTGCAATGTAAACTTAATGCCTTTTTAAACCACTCAAAGAGTATGATACCTGGTACAAAACCAATACAATGTACTGATGTCATGTGAAGATAATAATTGTGAGTTGTGACCCCAGTTATGCTTGCACCCATGAACCACTAGACACAAGATGATAATACAACTCTACAATTGCATATATAGAATTTATGTAAGTTTAATTGTGATGGAAGCTATAAGATTATGAAAAGATTTTTTTTATCCTTTCCTGAAACCAGCCAGTACAAAGGAATGAGTAAATTCTTGCTTGAAGAAACTGTTTTACAATGACTTGCCCCTGAACACATTTATACCCACTTGGCCAGAAATCCTTAGATTACTAGTTTTATTAAATATGTTAACAACTTAACCATTTGACCATGCAACCACACATAAATTGATGGCATGCATCAAACCAGTTATATTAAAGTCAATCTAAATATGGCCAACCATATTTGTTATGGACTTACCTAATTGGTTTTTCATGTTCATAGATATGGAGTTAAGATGTGCTTTGGAGGCATATAATCTGTTGACAGCTTTCCTTGAATTAAGGATCTCCTTTGCTAAAATACTGCATGCTGCTTTCTCTCCTTTCTTAGCAGAATCCTTCAACTGTCTCTTTGTCTTTTCTTCCTCTCTCTGTATAGCTGATACATAAAGTAATAATCAAATTTTCTTTCAAGTTTCTTAAATATTGCAAACCTAAACTAAGGATTTAATTTGTCACTAACCTAATTGATTGTTACCTTTTTTTTTCTCACAAAAATCGGCTGGAAAAGTGCCGACACATATGTTTGTAATATATAGAACAGAGACATGTTAAGAAGTATTTGTTGGGATAAAATTATGTCGGATCTTAAATTTGTGGATTGACCTACCCACGAAAACCATGAAAATTCATGCCCCACCAATAATAATGATTTTACAGTACAGTAATTCTGAATAAATGACGTATACAATAATTCTGATTGAATAATAAATAAATAAATAAATGTAATATCTCTAATTCTTGCTTACATGGTATATATATCATGTTTGTAAAAATGTTACTATAATTTACACAGGTATATATTATCCAGTTGCTGAAGAGTTTACTTCTCAACCCAACATAAGTCAAAACCATTTATTGTCATTAAAGTGAAGTGATTTAAGCAGATTTGACATTGGGTTAAACATGATAACATCTTTTGTCCAAATGGAACAATTAAAAAAATGAACATTCAAATTTTATTAAAAAAAAACCGAGAACGACCATAAAAAACCCAAACCAAGTTGTTGACAAATAAGTTAAAATTCTACAGTTACACTATCATCAAAACAAGTGTGCAAATATCATAAATCTAAAAATGTGTCCATAGGACATGAACACCCCCAAATTTGACTGTTCTGTCAGTTTATGGACAGACAGTGTGACAGCAGGGCAGTGTGACAGCAGGGCAGTGTGACAGCAGGACAGTGTGACAGCAGGGCAGTGTGACTGACAGACAAGGGTAAATATACATACCCACCAGTGATACCTTAATTAAGTTACAAGTAGGGGCATAAGGAAACACAAAATTATTCCTTCTTTATTTTAAAATACAGAACAGTGCCAGTATCAAGTAATGTAAACCATGGCCGATAAATGTATCATAACTATTCTATGAAAGTTCATTATCAATTTTTACATGTTGTATTTGACATACCTTTAATTTGTCTCTCAAGGACATAGCCTTCTTTTCTCAACTTGTGATTCCATTCATTCACCTGAAACATATTAAATTTTTTTGACAATGTAAAGGGGAAATTCCTTTTATCATATTAACAAAAAGTTTTTAAAAATTAACAAAATTGTCATGATGATCATATAAAACTTCTCATACTTAAATAATTCAAAAAACATGTATCTAAAATATGTGTTTTATGCAATTTTAATGCTAGGTCAAATCAAAGCATATTTTCTACCTTGAATCAACCCTTCAAAACATGTAAGACAGGATTACTCAATCCATGATAATGACAGCTCATGAGGTGTGGCAAGAACAAAGAGAGACTACCATAATAGTGACTTGCAAGAGATTTCCAAGAAATTGATCCACAAATTACCATATAATATACATATTTCCTTGCAACAAAAATGTTAGAAATATTGCCCTCATAGTCATACTCAGTCACCTTTTGGCTAATAGGATATGAAAATGTAACCTTGATTAGCTGTTATTACATTCTAATGTAAACAAATATTCTATCATTGCATTTTGACATAGGCATGCATGTATAGTTATGTTTATGCTGTTTATTTCTTTTTAATAATCTATTAATGGAGGCTTCCATGACAAATAAAAATTCCATCCTTGATTTACTCAGTATTATTTAATAATCAGCCAAATAAGGCCTACATTCCCAGTAGAAAGAAATCTCGATAGATCAAGTACCACCAAGATAATTAAGGACACATTGAACATTGTTATATAATAGCAAGCATTATGTTAACATGAGTATCTCTAAAACTGATGGCTGGAAGTATTTCAAAAATTCAATATGGGTAAATGACTGAAATGAAAGGAATATTACCACAGCATCTCACTTAATAATGAAAACAACTCTATGATAAGTTATATTTCTAATTGAAAACATAAAATTGTATATTGGGACTTTTTACATGTACAACACAATTAGACATACAAACAAGAGCTGTCGGTAGGACAGCAACGCTCGACTATTCTAAGTGCTTGATAGTAAAAAAATGCTTGATACAGTTACCTCCTCCTGTTTACAGGTTGGGGTAATGATGGTGAACAAGTGTGCAAAGTTTCAAAGCCATATGTCAATGGACTTTGAAAATATTTTAACTATTACAAAAACTTTAACGTAAATTCTAAGTCGAAAAAGGGGCATAATTCTGTCAAAATGCTTGATAGAGTTACCTCCTCCTGTCTACAGATTGGGGTCATGATGGTGAACAAGTGTGCAAAGTTTCAAAGCCATATGTCAATGGACTTGGAAAATATTTGAACTATTACAAAAACTTTAACGTAAATTCTAAGTCAAAAAAGGGGCATAATTCTGTCAAAATGCTTGATAGAGTTACCTCCTCCTGTGTACAGGTTGGGTCATGATGGTGAACAAGTGTGCAAAGTTTCAAAGCCATATGTCAATGGACTTTGAAAATATTTAACTATTACAAAAACTTTAACGTAAATTCTAAGTCGAAAAAGGGGCATAATTCTGTCAAAATGCTTGATAGAGTTACCTCCTCCTGTCTACAGATTGGGGTCATGATGGTGAACAAGTGTGCAAAGTTTCAAAGCCATATGTCAATGGACTTTGAAAATATTTGAACTATTACAAAAACTTTAACATAAGTGGTTACGCCGACGCTCGGGTGACTGCAATAGCTCTACTTATTCTTATCGAATAGTCGAGCTAAAAAAGTCCACAAAATTGCACGATATAAGAACATAATTGTATTGTAGGACGTATCAGACAAACATAATACACTCATAAACACTTTTCATATGAACCATGTAAATAGCCAAGGTATATCAAGTGAAAAAATACCAGTTGTTTCCCTTATCTTCGAGTAAAATTGGTATCTCTTTCGCTAAAACAATATATACGATTTATACAGTGAGATACGCAACCGCTTATCTTTACTCGAAAACCTACTGATAGCGAGCTCGACGAGCTGGCCTGAAGGGCCTGCTTGCAAAGCAAGCTTTACGGTAACGTGAGTACCTGCTAAGTGATGGTTTTGAAAACTTTCGTCCGAAGTACCGAATTGGACACATCGCAACTTTTCGAATTTAAAGATAACGATAAAAACTGAGGAATTCTGACTGAAAACGGATGTGTAGACTGGTCACCCGCGCACGTCTATGGGAACCATAATTGGACAGGGAACCAGAACAACGGAAGCTGTGTATAAAATAACGAATGACAGTTTTAAAACGGAAAATGTAATGAAAATCTGATAAATAACAACATTTTTTTGTCGAATTTTGTTGTGAAAACTATTTAGAATGAAAGAAAATGGTCTAACTAAGAAAATGAATCCGGACACCAATATCTTTTATTCAGTCGTTAACGCTGTACAGACGTTTAAAGTATTGTTTACGTGACGTCACAATGTAGCGCCAAACAGCACGTGCAAAACAATCAAATACGCTATTTTAATGTCGCAAACGTTTTAAATGTAACATTTCTTTGACTTTTAATAATCTTTATTTCGCTTGAAAAATTATATGCGGAAAGTCCGAGCGGGGCCAAAGGCCCCGCAAGGGCTGTAGCGCTCTTAGATAACATGTATGACGCCTATTAATTCAAATAAAATCAAATTAAAACTAAATGAAAATTTCAAAAAAGTATATATCCTATACCTAATGAGCTGCGAAAAAATCCTTAGTAAACTGGGCGCCGCCATTTTGAAATCCTTTTGAGCTAAATATAGATATCAGAGCGCTTTTAATGAGCGTCTACATAATTCAGACTATTGCTAGCAGACGCATGCTAAGTAACACTTCCGGTGAAAGAATGATGTACAAAATCAAAAAATAAACCTGCATAATATTGATAAGAATTACAGTAACGAATATAATTATAAAAAGTTACTTTAACATATCCTTTTTGATAAATTAGCACATTAAAAATACCGTTAAAACAACAACTGTGATTAGAGATTAACAAGATGGCAGACGGGATTTTCCAAACGCCGACGCATGCGCAGTGGTCCCCCTTTACGTTCGGAGATTTTCGGAATATTCCGAGCGCTCCGATGATAGGTTGAACACCACCAATTTATTCGTTTTGTTTACAGTACAAAATACATGGTTTTCATGTACACTAAACATGTTATGCTAAAATCATAATTCATAAGAACTTTCCGCCCCATAGGTAGCACCTTATTTCATATTAAAGTGAAATAAAATAAACAAACAAAGTTTTAGCAACGTTTCCAAAACTCGTTATTCATTTAACGACAGGGGTGGAGCCATATTTAACACAGTGCGTGTGATGTCACACGCACAAGTCACTGCATTTGAAATAAAAATGAGCGATTATTTCATACTATTTGACGTTAAAAGTACATCGAGCTCGCTTTGAGGATTTGCCTTTTTCATATAAAGAATAGCCTGTCTTCTGCTAGTTGGGGAAAGTGTTTATTGGTGTATTGTATTGTCGGACGTATCAGACAATGATTTCCTCAAATAAGAGAAGACTATGGAACCATCAGATACGGTACAATACGATACAGTACAGTGCGTCCTGGCTAGTCCTATGTGACTCACATACAGCTAGAACTTTTGGCTAGCTGTACGTGCCGGGCTAGCCACTTCCAACTGACAAACAGCTCACAGCAAAATGAACACATAACAAATAAAAGCGACTAGGCTGTGACATTCTCTTCTACTTGGAGAGAAATGGCTCCTGATATAAGCCTTAGGAACATCAAAAACTGATAATCCCCTCACTCCTTAAAAAGATAAAATCAAAAGAATCTATATCATCTAGATTTATAATTTTGTGAAGGAATTTGACAGCAAATCATGATGACGATGGACTCTTAAACATAAATATGTGCTCTTTTTTAGGGTAACGTTTTATTCTATGATATGTATAGAAACCAAAAATAAATGTTTGTGTAAAATATACCATGTCTTTTGGAGACTTTTGGTTGTCTTTGCCGAAAAGTCCCATTTTCTACAATTTCTCATAGATTTGTGACAAAATGTAAACTTCCGCTAAGGGAGATAATTTGACATTACATTCGTTCCACTGATAATTCGACCCATAAAGTTATTTTATGAATACTTTCCCTTTCTAGCGGTGATTTTCCCGAATCCGTTGTCGAATCATCGGCTCAATATTTCTTTTATCTAAGCATGTTTTATACCATTTTATTTTAATGATAGTTCTAGTTCATATGTTTACATGTTGTACGGCATATACCATTCTCCGGTCCGGTCGCTTCCGGTCTCCGGTCTCTCCCGGTCTATTTTTGCTCGGATTTTCAAGATACCGGCGAATAGTATCATATTTACCGGCCTCCTTTCCAATTGATTGTTTTTATATAACTTTTTTCATTTTTATCAATTTTAATCAAAGATATAAATGTTAAGGCGTATTAATTAAAACTTACAAGATATAAAAATGTATTGCCCCAATTTACAAAAAAGGCCCAAAATGCAAACCCAGCAATTATAGACCAATCTACCTCACATGCATAGCGTCCAAATTGATGGAGCACATCTTAGTGTCCAATATTATGTCCTTTTATGATAATCACAACATCCTTAGCCCCTATCAACATGGCGTCAGGCCAAAACGGAGTTGTGAGTCCCAGCTAGCATAAGCTTCTCCCAGGAAATTCATGGCAATCTTGAAATTGGCCAACAAACTGATGTCTTAGTCATGGATTTCAGTAAGGCATTTGATAAGGTGAACCATTACAAACTTGTGAGTAAACTAGAAAGATTGGGTATAAGCTATGAGGTTACAAATTGGGTCCATTCCTTCCTTAAGTCACGCTCCCAGCAAGTCGTAGTTGATGGTCAAAAATCAGGAATACTACCAGTCCTCTCAGGCGTCCCCAAGGCTCGGCATAAGGTCCCTGCCTTTTCCTTTCTCACATAAATGACCTCCCAGATAGTGTCAAAGGTAAGGTTAGACTCTTTGCAGATGATACTGTTGTCTACCTAACCATCAGATCTAAACAAGATGCCCACACCCTCCAAGATGACCTTCATGCTTTAGAAACATGGGAAAAAGACTGGTCCATGGAATTCAACCCTGACAAATGTGAAGTTCCCAGGATAACAAGAAAAAGAAACCCTGTAATATTTCCTTATACCCTCCATAACATCCAACTAAACTCAATTCAAGTGGCGAAATACTTAAATTAGGAGTCACTATTAGTCAAGACCTTTCATGGACACATCATATAAACAACATTACATCTAAAGCAAATAACTCCCTCAGATTTATTACAAGAAATGTTAAAACCCCAAATAAAAAGATAAAGGAAACTGCATATAAGACCTATGTTAGACTTCAGGTTGAATATTGCTCCATAGTTTGGCATCCTTGGCAGAAATACTTAATTTATAAGATAAAGCAAGTACAAAGATCAGCTGCTATATAGATACATTTTTAATGATTATGACTATACAAGTAGTGTCTCAAAAATGATAAATGATCTAAATTAGCAAACCCTTGAACAGCGTCGAAACATCAGTGCTGTAACCTACTTGTATAAAATCCAAAACAACATTGTTTTTGTTGATCACCAACACCTTACTCAAACAAGAAATCTGAACTACCTGATACCCTACTCAAGGACACAATATCATCAAAATTCTTTCTTTCCTAGGAGCATACGTCTTTGGAATAGCCTTCCTCTAACTGTTCAGTCTAGCCCCAGTTTAAACATCTTTACTGAGAGGCTTGACCCATTCTATAAATTCTAAATTGCACACTACGTCTTTTAAATTAATAGTCTTGTAGTACTTTTATTCTTTTATCTTTTTAATTTGCATACAGATAATTTCTTTTATTAACAGTTCCCTGACAACGCGCCTGCTAGTCATAATCAGAATTGATTGTTAAGCAGTATAATGTAGATGTAGATAATAATGCACTTGTGTTAAATTTTGATTTTTTTTTTGGTGGTGTCACGGTTCAGAACTGTTCACTATATATGCTCAGCAAACATAATTTGTAAACCTATATCCAAGATAGTTAATAATATGATCAACACAAATTTATTTCCACATAGTTTAAAAACGGCTCAAGTCACTCCAGTTTTTAAGAAAGATATGATCTTTTTATCATGAAAAATTATAGGCCTTTTAGTATATTACCATTAATGTCAAAAATTCCGAGAAAATTGTAAATGAACAATTAAGCAACCATTTTGAAAATATATTTCATAATTATCTAGCCGCTTTCAGACCAGGCCACGGATGTCAGACAACTCTTTTGCGTCTGGTTGAGGACTGAAAGATGGCGTTAGACAGAAATGAGCATGTGGCAGCAATCCTAATGGTTCTGTCCAAGGCTGTTAACTGTCTACCGCATTGTCTTACAGTCCAAAAGCTAGAGGCATATGAGTTGTCTGAAAATGCATGTGCTCTAGTTTCAAATTATCTATCAAACAGAAAACAAAAAGTTAAAATAGGAGAATATCATAGCACTTGGCTTGAAACAATTAAGGGGGTGCCTCAAGGCTCTATTCTTGGACCTTTGATCTTCAACATCTTCATGAATGATATTTTTTACTTTATAGATGAATCCATCCTCTACAATTATGCAGATGACAATACTCTAGCCTTCTCCAGCTCAAAAATAGACATACTGTAAAATGTGAAGATTGTGTAAAACTGCAAGGGGTAGACATATACTTTTACTTAACTTTGTAAACAGGTCACCAGAATGTGTAAAAAAGCTGCCAATCAATTAAATGTGCTCTTACGAATAAGGAAATTTTTTAATTCAGAATGTCTTCTTCTTATTTAAAAATATTTTATCAGATCTAATTTTAACTACTGTCCCCTTGTTTGGCATTTTCGCTCTAAAAACACAGAAAAGCTTAAAAACTCCAGCATAGAGCTCTAAGAATAGTATTCAATGATTTTAATTCTTCATATGACACATTATTAAAAAAGTAAATATGCCTATTTTACATTTATCAAGAATTAAAACTATAACCAAAGAAAGTGTTTAAATGCCTGTATGGAAAATCACCACCACATATAAATGATTAACCTATAGCTCTTCAGCGCTTCTTATGTTAAATTCTTCCAAGTATAATTTCCAGTAACCGTAAATTATACCATACCTAGACTATGGTATAATTTTCAGTTTTGAAGATCGAAGGAGTAAGTGTTTCTGGGCGGAGCTATAGGTTAAAACAGATACACCATTGGTGCGTTGACGATTTCTGGGTTTGCGTAAATTAAACCATAATCACGTGACCTTTCTTATGCCTTAACCTCACGAGACGAAGTCGAGTGAGGTTGCATAAGAAAGGTCACGTGATTATGGTTTAATTTACGCAAACCCAGAAATCCTCAACGCAGCAATGGTATATCTATTACTTAAGTTCAATTTAAAAAATCTGATTGTTCTTTTAGGTATCAAAAAAGGGTAAATATTACAAGGGTCAAAACAGTAACATACGGTAAGAATCCTTTTAGGTTTGAAGGCGTTCAGATATGGAACAGTCTTCTTAATGACATCCGCAAGGTTGAAAACTACAGAGTTTGGGAGACTGATCCAGGTCTGGAGTGGCCCAAATTGTAAATGTGCTATGTGTCTGTAAATTTGCTATGTGTTTGTTATTTTGCTTAGTTTTTAATTTATGTAAAATGCTTAGACTGCATGTTTGTTTGTTTTTGTGCATCCCTTTTTAGTTTGCTATGATGCTTTGATTATATGCTGTGTGTTATTTTCCTTAAACCATGTATTTTTATGCTAGTTGTATCTCTGCTGTCGGATTTGTATGTTTTGTTCTTATTAAAACTCCTTAATTTCCCTTCCATTAGGCTGTGCATGCAACACTTTTAGTTTACTTTGTTTGTTACCCTGTATGTGCATAATTTTTTTTTATTTTTTATGCTGTTTTAGTTCTATCATAAATTTTTATGTACTTTTTTTATAAGTAAGTCATTTTTTTTTTAGAAAATCTCCATTATGTATAAATTCTAGATGTTAACTAATAACTATTTTATTAATTTTCCAATTTTATTATAATTATTTTTATTTATTTCACATTGCTACATGTATCATACTTAAATTTCTATTCTACAGTCATTTATTATTTTAAAAAAAACTTTTCGTAACTTTAATACAATATCATAAAATGCGAAAACACGAAGGGACGACGTCTCTTCGTGTTTTCGTTTTTTTTCGCATTTTCGAAAAAATAGAGAAAATAAGAATCCCCTAAAGAAAGCCCAACACGGCATAATTGAAAATGTTGCAGGCTCGGTTTGATTGAGCCTGTTCATGGACGGCACTGGAAAGTGCAAGTTACCGTCCACGCCCCCTAGCACCGGCTTAAAGCAGAATTCAACATTTACTATGAACTGGTACAATTTTGAATTTTGAAACATCCGCAGATGTATTCATATGGCGTTTATCATGGAACCTTCAATGTGGCACGTAAGTGCCACTCCATGAAAAGCGGCATATGGTCCCCAAGTAAAAAAATGCATGTGCCCTAAATGAGAAAACAATGGGCTGAACTAAATAAAATGGAATTTTGAAAGGGGATCAGAGGTTATGAAGCCTGCATATCACAGATAAGACGTCAAAAGAGAAATTTAAAAAGCAGGCCACATATCCTAAGGGTGATTCAACAGTATTCAAGTGAGGAATACTGGAACCACCCAACAAGAAAAAAAGCCGAATAGAAAGAACTAAATTACCACAAGCACAATGATAATATCGTGCTGAACGATCTTTAAGGATCGGAAATATAACACAAAGCGAAAATACGACAGAAGAAGGGCGACAATACGACACATAAAATCTGTCACATAAAAACATGCTGTGCGTTTGATTCCTCTGTGGTGAACCACAGGAGATTGACATTCTATCAATAATTGAAAAATATAAGCAAATAATTGAAAAATAACGGCAAATGTACCCCTCTATACTATAAATAAGCGCTTATTTATATTATAGAGGGGTACTGTCGATTCAAATATGATCGAGAATGGGAAATCTTAAATAAAAAAGTACATAGGGGGGCAGGAAAAAGCTATTTACGGAAACACATAACCAGGAAAACAGAAAATTGATTA